CAAAAGTCTTTGACGCCAACCCATACCAGCTAATGAAGGTTGACTTGGTTTAGTCTCCAAACTAAACTTTGGTTTTGGTTTATCTTCAGTTTTTGGCTTCCCTTCTTCTATTGGTTTTTCGTCACTTTTCGGTTCCTCTGACTTTACTTCACTTGCAGGTATGGTTGTGTCGTCAACATCTTCATAAATATCATATGCCATTTGTTTTTGTTTTCCTTTCAACTTTTTGTGTTTGTTGTAAAGTTTAGAATATTTCGACTCTAAGTCAATGAGATGTTCTATAATGAACTGTTCGTCAGTGAAGTATACCTTCCCATCTGTTGTCTCTTTAACTCCTTCAGACTTCAATATTTTATTTGTGAGAGTCTGTTTCTTTTTTGAGATACTAGCCGTTCATTTCTATGAAAAGTGACTTTGTAGTTAGGGTTTGTATTTCCAGACCTGGCACTTTCTATTATTGAATTTTTCTCTTCATCTGTAAGTTCTTTGACAGGTTTTGACAATGGTTCTGAACTTTTTGTTTGTGGTGTCAAATCTACCGTTTCAACTTCTTCGGTCATTTCATCTCAGTAAAAATTTTAGTTTGGTTTGTTTTCAACTGGTTGTTGTTGTTTTTTAAGTCGGTCTAAAACTTCCTGAGGTATAGGAAGAACTTGACAAACACGTTGTGTAACTGCTGGAAGTCGACAAATCCATCTTGAACCCATTTGTCTCAATGCTGTATTGTTCATTTCATCTCAGTAAAAAACTTTACATTCCACGTTTGAGGCGGTTGAGGTTGGTTATTGTTTACCCATTGTTGTGCATGGTTATATCCTCTGTTAAAGAATCTTTCACCTTGGTCCATATAGTGTCCTGCTTGGTTATAGTAGTCATTTGCTTTGTTATAATAGTTTCCTGCTTGTCTTCCTACATTGTCCATCCATCCTTGAACTTTTCTCTTGTTTCAGGATTTGGAATAAGATTTGTTGCATCTCGTGCTACATCCCAACCTTTCTGTACAGTTTGTATAATAGGTTGTGCTTTCTCTTTAAGTATACCTAATGTACTCAAAATCTTCCTTCCAACTCCAAATACACCTCTGGCTATTGTTCCCACTGCGGGCAAAAATCTGGATGCAACTCCTGCTAATGCGCCAAATAAACCCATTTCTTATAGGGTAAAAAATGACGAATCCAAACAAGGACCCCTATGTTTCTAAAGCGACAAAGAAAGCACTCATGGTAAAAATCTTTAGTTCAACACCAAATGCTTGGTTTATGGATATCTTGGAAAACATTCCGAGAGTTAGAACAGATGGACCTCCATACTGGCTAATATTTGTCGGTCAAAACACAAGATACTGTGAAGCCATACCATTACAGTCCAAAAATATTTTAGATATCTTAGCAGCTTTGACAATATTCGTTGACAAATACCATCCAACAAAACTGACATCTGACTGTGAAAGTTCTTTCAAATCAGATGATGTAAAAAACTATCTGCGTTCAAAAAATGTAAACCAATATTTCATTGTCGACCAAAACCATTCTGCTCTTGGTGTCATTGACGGATGTATAAAAATGTTAAGAGACTTAAACCAACCACAAGGTGGTGAAGCAAATGAAATGTCATATGACGACAAATATAGACATTTCTCCATGGCAAAGATGAGACAAGTTTTAAATATTTACAATAGCCGTAAACAAAAAGGTTTGGGAAACCACTCCCCCGAAGAAATGAAAAACAACCCTGACTTAGAGAAAGACTATATATTTAATAGTTTAGTCAAAAGAGACAAACAAGAAAGAATGCCAGGCTTCAAACTTAAGAAAGGTGACAAAGTAAAAATAGAAATACCTAAACGCGACCCATATGAAAATACTATTGACTATGACAACAATGGGAACTCGACAGGTACTCACATTCGTGTTCGTAAAAATAGAAGAAAGTATACAAGAGAATATTATGAAGTTTTAGGCAAACATGGCAAAATGTACAGACTGCAAGCAGAAGATAAAACTACTATTGTCAGACCTCGTTTCAAACTTGTTAAGGTTCAAGGTGGTATACTTTCAAAGACAGTTCCTAACAAATATAAGACAACTCCTGACGAATATGCTAAAGAAGTTGAAAATGACGACTAAGCGTTTCTATACCATGCGTAAACTGTCATGTAAGGTGGCATGTAGTCTTTACTTTGTCCCGTTGTTTGCGTATACCCTGAAACGCGATGTGTATGGCTTCCTCCTACCTCAGTGTTACTCCAGTAACAATTTATAGCAAACTTAACGTCCTCTTTAACATCATATCCTTTACCTTTTGTCATTCCTGACCAATCCCAAAATCTATGACTATGCAAACCTGCTTCAGATGTACTTAAATCTACGTAGTGACTGTGTGCAGGTAGGTTTTCACCTGAAATCGTTTTACTTCCGCCTGTTTCCTTTGAAGAGTTTGCACAATACAAAAACCTGTCGACTATTTGAGTCCAAGTTCCAAAACCAAGTACTACTTCTGGTCTGGTAGAGTTCATTGACGTGTAAATAGAACCTATAGGATATACTGTTTGAAGTATTTCTGTCTTTAACGTTTGAAGCTCTGTTTTGTCAGCTTTTTTATCATATAAATCTTGAGCAGTGAATTTAACTTTGTTTTCATCCTCCATGACATAGACATTTCTACATCTAATGTATCTCATCGTTGTTATGTCTTCTTCCGATGTTAAACCTTGTGGAAAGTTAGGAGGTTTCCAATTTAATACATCCCCACCAGTTCCATCAGGTTCTTCAACCGTTCCTGCAATATTTTCTATACCAACAGTTCTGAAGAAATCGTGTGTATGTCCAACGTCACTTTTCCTGTTTAAGGTTTCTTGTAAGTTTGTAATATCAGATATGGTATGTGTATGAGTCTTTTTAGAATATTCTTTGTCAGCTCTTGTCACTTCACTTGACATTTTATTGTCAACATATGTTTTATCTGCTTTGTCATCTAACATTGCTGGTAGTTCATCTACGTCATAGATGTTATGTGTATGATGTTTTTGTGGGTATGTTCTATCTGTCCATGCGAGAATATAGTCTCTTGTTGCATCTACATACTCTTTGTCAGCTTTGTTGTCAATATCTGCCTTCAAAAGAAGTTCATCTATAGGTTTCTCGTTTAAAGTTCTTTTTGTTGGATTTATACAAACAGTATGGTTCTTACTGTCTTGAAACAGAAACTCGTCTGTCAATGGGTTTATCGTCAGTTTTAAGTTTCCTTCTTTCAATGACTCAGATATCTTAGAATAGTTTGAAAAGTTTGTTGTGTTCTTATTTAGAGCTTGCACAATGAGTTGTCGGTTGTGTTGTATTTCTCTCATAGACGCTGTTTCTTTCGACATTTTTATTCTAGATAAAATATGCTTTCAATAGAAAAAGAAAATTCAAGAGTTGCTACAACTAAACCATTAGATGAACTTTTTACTAATGTCGGTCAAAAGTTTGAGACAGAGACCGTAAAGCATGAAGGCTATCGTTTTGACTACCCACTTAGATGGTTAAGAGACCCATCCGTCACAAAAGCTATTGGCTTTCGTAGAATGAAATTCATTTCAGAAGCCATACATGGTTTCCCATTTACGGTCGCTTTTGAAATTCGATACTATAACAAAGAGAAACGTACGTATGAGAAATTTGAACAGGGAAAACTTTTACAAGTTAGTTTGCTTGTAAACTTAGAAACAACTCTTCAAGCTTTTCAAGAAAAAATAAACGATATCTATCTCGAATATGCAAAACAGTACAACATTGACGAAGGAGAGTACCATCTCGATATTTTATATGACAGGAAAAATGCAACTGTTAAATTCAATAGAATAGAAGACCTTGGAGAAGACGTTTATATTTCTACAAAATATAACAACTTGGCATGGTATAGGTTTCTGAGGATGTTAAATCAGCCTGCAGAATATCCAGTACACCCGAACTTTTATGAAGTCGAAAACCCTAATGGAACATATGAAAATGTTTTCGACTCAGATGCTATTATCGTTCATGCTTCATTTTCTGGTGCACAAAACTCTTTTTTATGCTTGGCAAATGACTTTTACGAAAAACCTACAAAGCTATATGAACCACCGAGTGGAAGTATTTCAGACTTTCAAGTATGGTTTACAACAGATGGAAGAAAGAGAATAGTTCCATTATACCATGCGTTTTACTTAGAACTTAGTCTCATATACAACTACTATCGAACAGTAAAAATATAATTTTTAATACGGTTGAGGTGTTGGATTTGGTTGCCAACTAGACTGTGGTGCAGGTTCAGGCTGTTGTATAACAGGAGCTTGCTCTTCTGGTTCAGGGTCTTTAGGTATAATACCAACGAACTGACCTACTCTTTTGCCAATATTTTTGACTCCGTTCCATACTCCCCTTCCTACGGTTTTTATTCCATTCCATATACCTCTTCCAACATTTCGAAAGAAGTTTCCAATACTACTGAAGAAACCCATTTTACTATATGTAAAAATCTAATGTCCACCTAGTCTCTTACGTTTCCTTCTGAGTTCCATTGCATTCTTTAACTGGAGCTCATACATTCTATTTCTCCTCTGGTAGAAAACATACTCTGGGTCAACTCCTGTGTTCGCGTCATCTGCATAGAGTTGTTTATATCCCACTTCAGGGTTTGTATAAAACTCTTTCCATCTCATATTTGCATACCATGGTGGTAAGCCTAACGCAGCGTCATTTGACATGGCAGTTTGCATTTGTACATCTGTTGGCACCTGACCATAGTTTGCCATTGCAGTTTGTATTCTAACTTCATTTGGAATATTCTCTGGGTTTGGTTGTCCAGGTTGCTGTGCATTCGCTAAGTTCTGTGCGTCCATTTAATATTAGATAAAAATATCTCTTACGAGTACATATACTGGACATTTGCAGGCATTGGTTCATCTTCATATTCTCTATATCTTTCTGCCACGTCAAATAAGTAAATGACACAATGGAAAAAACCTAAAACAAGTAGTCCTATTTCAAACCACATTTACTTACCAATAAAATTTCTTTGTTATGACACTTTTTCCGGTTTATAGGACCTCTCTCATATTCTATCTTGTCATATATAAACTCATAGTCATGTATGTCCTCTAACCATCTCATGACACTTTCCAAACCACTTTTATCGGATGTAAAGTAAAAGCATGGACAGTTATGTAAAACGTCTAAAGTTTCTAAAGAGTCTCTCAAAGTCCAGTCTGCTTGGTATTGAAAATCGTATGTGTTAAAGAACGGCGGGTCTACTATAAAGAAAACATTTTCCTTGTTTTTATATTTTTCATACAACTCTGTCCAACGACATCTCACAAACTCTATACCCTCAGTATATTTTTCTATGTCCTCTTTGAAAACCTTTGTATAGTTAAGATATAAAACTTTTGACATAAGTGTTTCAATGTCATGAACTCTTATAGCACCACTATATAATAGTCTAGCAGATATACTATCCCAGTCAATATACTCTGCCTTTTTCAAAACCTCTCTGACAGTATTTTTCTTATCTAATGGTATACGTTCCATCTTACCTATAGGTATCTTTTCTTTTAACTCTTTCAATATTTTGTTTGTGTCTGGTATATGTTTGAGACGGTTCATATAGTTGTCGAAGTCATTGCATATAATCTTTGAGTCAGGAAATACAGTATGGCACAAATGAGATATATAGAAACTTCCACCGAACAAATCTACAAATGTTAGACCATTCGGTAGTTTCTTAAGTTCTCTCAATAGAATATCTTTACATCTACTCTTATTTCCAAAGAAGGGTAACGGTGGTTTTGTAAAATTCATTTTATATACAATAAAAATGTTTTTTCCCTGAAAAGTGACAGAAAAGTGACAAAACATGAAAACATATATATTTTGTGAAAAGCTCCTGGAAGACCCGTATATAAGAACTTCAGATGGAACACATACTTTTTCAGTAAGGACATATGAGGTGAGATGTCACCTGTTTTCTCACCTCATTTCTCACCCGTTGAATTTTCATGAATTTCTTCGTAAAGACTTTGTTAAGACTTCTTCGTAAAGACTTTGTCAAGACTTCTTTGTTGAGATTTCTTCGTAAAGACTTTGTTAAGACTTCTTCGTAAATGACCAAAAATATATTTTAGGTGAAGAGGTGAGATTTCACCTCTTTTTTCACCTCATTTCTCACCTCTTGAATTTTCATGAATTTCTTCGTAAAGACTTTGTTAAGACTTCTTCGTAAAGACTTTGTTAAGACTTCTTCGTAAAGACTTTGTTAAGACTTCTTCGTAAATGTTTTGTCAAGACTTCTTCGTAAATGTTTTGTTAAGACTTCTTCGTAAATGTTTTGTTAAGACTTCTTCGTAAAGACTTTGTTAAGACTTCTTCGTAAATGTTTTGTCAAGACTTCTTCGTAAAGACTTTGTTAAGACTTCTTCGTAAAGACTTTGTTAAGACTTCTTCGTAAAGACTTTGTTAAGACTTCTTCGTAAATGACCCTAGTAGTATATTTTTGGTGTAAATTTCATGAAAATTCAAGAGGTGAGAAATGAGGTGAAAAAACAGGTGAAATCTCACCTCTTCACCTAAACATTATTTTTGGTGTAAATTTCATGAAAATTCATGAAAATTCAAGAGGTTAGAAATGAGGTGAAAAAACAGGTGAAATCTCACCTCTTCACCTAAACATTATTTTTGGTGTAAATTTCATGAAAATTCATGAAAATTCAAGAGGTTAGAAATGAGGTTAGAAAAGAGGTTAGATATACCCTTCTACCCTAAAATATATTTTTGCCGAATTCTGTATAAAATTCTGAGTAAAATGACAGATGTTTATATGACACTTTCTCCGGTTTATAGGACCTCTCTCATATTCTAAACATCTTCGGGGCTAGAAGGCACGAAGTGCCTGGAAGCCCCACTACCTTTTTTTTTTTTTTTTTTTTTTTTTCATTGGATTGTTTTCATCGATTTCTATCTTCTGAATGTTTGGTGCACCTGTGAAAGCATTTGTATCGATATTTGTTAGTGACGCTGGAATATAGACGTAATTCAGAGAACTGTCGAGATTAAATAAACTTGAACCTACTGTTGTACATTTTGGAGGAAAAGTGAAATTTACAATTTTTGATTCTGCGAAAGCTCTAGATCCAATTGATATTAATTCTGAGCCTTCTTCAAATTCGACTGTGGTTAATGAATAGGCCAATGCAATTCCTGATTCAGAAATTGTTTTTACACCTTTTGTAATAAATATATACGTAGCTCTTCCTGCCCAATTCCAATTAGTTATTGTTGTCATTTTCGAACCTTTTTCGAGACATATTTTGTCTGCAATAATTGAATTAATAAAAGCTGGAGACGTTGTTGTGATATTTTTTGAAATAGTGAATGTACCACTAAGATGGCACTCAGAAAAAGCATTATCACCAATAATTGTAGTTTCAGGCGAAAATTTAAATGAAGTTTTCATCGGAGGTAAACGAATTAAGAGGTTTCGTCCTTTATAATACAGGGCACCGTATTCATCAAGCTCCAGGTAGTTGCTTCCACTTGGAAGGTAAAAATTTGCAAAGTTTGAACAATAAAAAGTGTCGTATCCTGTTATTGATTGTAATGTTGATGGTAAATATAGATCTTGTAAGGACGAAAAGAAGTAAAATACTCCTCGTGTGAATGAAGTGCAACCTTCGCCAACATGAACAACTGTGATTGAGGCACGATCGCAGTTCTGAGTGACTTCTGTTGCTGTGAGTGTCCCAGATCCTGTGATGTATAATGTTGTTTGCTGTGTTCGATACGAGAATCCTTGCGAGATTGACTAGAAGCAAATTAATATAATTGGCAAAAAGATTTATCAAAATTCAAGAAGATCATATATAAAACACGTCTAAACATTTATATTTTAAATGATAAAACAATGATTTATCAATCAAATACAATGACTTTTGAGAACATTGAATAATTTACGATAAATTGAATGAAAATCTCATCTTTATAAAATATCATTTTAATGATTAATAACAAATAAGTTAATTGTTAGAAATCATGTCACTTTTGCAAACAAAATTTAAATAAAATTGAACTAGAATAATATGAATATTTCAGATAAAAGTAAAAAATATTAAATGGAAAGATTTTGAATTTATATAAAAAAAAATAACAATAATTATAAATATCACCAGAATCCAATAGAGATTTCGTAAATGAAGAAGAGTGATGCTTGTGCTTTAACATTGTTCTTAATCTGGTGTTGAATTCCGATGGCAAAGTCGATGTTTGTTTCGATGATGTCGCTACATGTGTTGGATGGTGTGTGTCGCGTAGAAGATCCACAGAAAACAGTGGATGGATCAATAGTTTTTACAGATGATGGAACATCAAGATATGTGAAATTATCCGAATAAAATGCACTATTTCCGAGTGTGAGAAGTCCATTGTTAAGTCGTACGGAATTAATTTTGGTACATTTGTAGAGACAGAAGTCACCGATATGTTGACATCGTGAGTTAAGTGTAATTGATGTTATACCTCCAATACACGCAATTGCTGTACTGAAATCTTTGTTGTAAACAATTCCTCCTTCTGCTGAGAATGTAGTGCTAAATGATTCAACATCAATCGATGTAAGAAATTGGCATGATTGAAACATTGTCTTACCAAATTCACTCACTGAAGAAGGAATAGTAAATGATGTTTCAGAAGGAGAAACATATAGAAACTTTGTTCTATCCTTTGACATTAGAGTTGCAGATGAAATAACTGTATACATTGGATTGTTCCTGTCGATTTCTATCTTCTGAATGTTTGGTGAACCTGTGAAGGTATTTGTATCAATATTTGTTAGTGATGCAGGAATATAGACATAATTCAGAGAACTGTCGAGATTAAATATACTATAACCAACACTTGTACATTTTGGAGGAAAAGTGAAATTACTAAGATTTGTTTCTGAAAATGCATATGAATTTATAGATGTCAATTCTGACCCTTCCTCAAATTCGATGGTAGTTAATGAATGGCAGCTATAAAAAGCAGATTCAGTGATTGAATTTACTCTTTTCGTTAGAAAAACATATTTAAGAGATGTAGCCCATATCCAATTAACTATAGTTGTAAGTTTTGACTCTTTTTCAAGATAAATTTTGTCAACTCTAATTCCAATTAAAAATCCATCGTCTGTTGTTGCAATATTTTTTGAAATAGTGAATGTACCACTAAGATGGCACTCAGAAAAAGCATTATCACCAATAATTGTAGTTTCAGGCGAAAATTTAAATGAAGTTTTCATCGGAGGTAAACAAATTAAGAGGTTTCGTCCTTTATAATACAGGGCACCGTATTCATCAAGCTCCAGGTAGTTGCTTCCACTTGGAAGGTAAAAATTTGCAAAGTTTGAACAATAAAAAGTGTCGTATCCTGTTATTGATTGTAATGTTGATGGTAAATATAGATCTTGTAAGGACGAAAAGAAGTAAAATACTCCTCGTGTGAATGAAGTGCAACCTTCGCCAACATGAACAACTGTGATTGAGGCACGATCGCAGTTCTGAGTGACTTCTGTTGCTGTGAGTGTCCCAGATCCTGTGATGTATAATGTTGTTTGCTGTGTTCGATACGAGAATCCTTGCGAGATTGACTAGAAGCAAATTAATAACGTCGAAAAAATAACCCAAAAGTGGGAATTTTAACTTGTAGCAGAGGAATTTTTGAATACAAATGAGCAAACTTTTGAAATAGAATTTGCTCTATATCAGATGAGCTCCACACTGGTGAAATTTGGGGTGATTTTACCAACGATATCTCAAAAATTAGATTCTTATTAACTTCAATTTGCCGAGTTAACCAAAATGTTTTATGTGTATTAAGAGGATATTGGATAAGCATGCAATATCTACGCTTATTATACAAACTTGAGTTTTGATGATTATCTTGAAATTAAGAATTTAGGTTTGGAATTTTCATGTATCATCACGGATGTATGCATATAAACAGATGTAGAGTAGTATGGCTATCAAAAATAACCCAGTTTTATTGAAAAATACGGGTGCTACAAGTTAAATTTATGCTACGGAGTTATTTTTCCGACGTTATAATTGGCAAAAAGAATTATCAAATACAATGACTTTTGAGAACATTGAATAATTTACGATAAATTGAATTAAAATCTTATTTTTGGAAAATGTTATATTCAAGAAAACCAATAAAATACATATTTTCTAGGAAAATATGTCACTTTTCAAAAAAAAAATCAAATTTCGAAAATTGAAAAGTGGATATTTTTGCATTTTATATGGAAAAATCAGCTATCCCAAAGAAGTACAATCAATATCTTCTTTTATTTATGATTTTTACCTGAAAGATGATTTTGAATGTCAAATTGTAATCATAAAAATTTATTTCTGGAATGTCTCATGGGCGACCACCAGATTATGTTCATGGGAGAATAGAAGTTTTATCTGATGCAATGAGTGATTCTTATAAGACGTATTCAAATAAATATCATCAGATAAAGAATTATCAGCAAAAACAATTATCGACTGCTAACGTTCTATTAGAAAGAGAAAATACTCTTACTGACTATGCAAATAAGCTATTAGATAAACAGAAATATATCGGGGAATCGAAATCAAAACTGAAAAACCAAATAGAAGCTAGATCAAACGATATTCAGCATGAAATTGAAGAATTAACAGAAAGCTTAAATAGTTTGATAGATAAGTTTACGAAAACAAGTGAAAATATAGCTTCAATTGAAAGCAAAAATGTCGAATTAAAAAATAACGTTCAATCTCTTGAACAACAAATGAGTTCCCTACTAGAGAAAGAACAAAACCTAGTTGTACAGATTCATAATCTTATATATGAACACAATTCAAATTCTGTCGAAATTGAAAAAGTTAAATTGACTGAGGTTAAAAATAACATTCAAGATTTGGACGAAAAGACTACAAAACAGAATGAGAAGATCAAAAATGTCAACAATGACCTCGATGTTGTTGTATTAAAGAAAAATAAAGTGACAGCAAAGCAAAAAGAGCTTCAAATGACAATTAATAAACTTCAAGAAGTGCGTGTTAAGAATGCAGATCAAATACGATCAGAATTACAAGCTTTAAATTCAAAACAATATATTGAAGAAATTCATCGTTTAGAAAACGAAGGAAGTAAACTAGAATCAAATCTTACTACTAAAATACAACAAGAATTCGGGTTGTCAAAGGAATTAAATAATTTTGAAATTACAAAACTCAAAAAATCTTACAGACTTACAGAACAGCAACATGAGCTGGATAATCTAATGATTAAGAAGTCAGAGTACATAAATAAAACAGATTTTGCGCAAATATCTAATAAACATCAAGATTCAAATTTAAATCGGCTCAAAAAGTTAAATGAACAATATGAAGAGTTACAGAAGCAATTAAAAGAGGTAAATATACAGATAACTACCGAAACATTTAAAAAAGACAAAGCAAATTCAGATCTCAAGATTGCGAACAACAATTTTGATATTGCGAATGATATTTATAACAAAATCGAAGAAGAAATAAAGAAATGTGAAGAAATTCAGAACCAAATTCCTAAAAAATATGAAATTGAACCAGAAATTGAAATTGACGTCCATTTACCAGAAGATGTCATTGAAGAACTCAATGCAATTAATTTGGAAAACTCAAAACTACTTTTTGAGATTTCAAATGCAGAAAATCAAATTAAACAATTTGAAAATCAACATGCTACTCTTGTGAGACAGATTAAACAAGCACTTAAGATACCTCCTGATTTGATACAAACGCTTAAATCAACTCAGACCAGATTCCTAAATTCAAAAGATATTAGAACTAAAGTTAGACAGAGAATGCAAGCAAGGAATACAGAGCTTGAAATGCTAGCAACAACGGTTAATCACCTTGAACTAGATTGCCTCAATAAAAATCGCAAGATTAATCAAAATCAAGTTAAATTCTTGAATGATCAGTATAATAGACTTTCTATGCTCCTTTTCAATACATGTATGACAGGAATATTAAGTAATCTTACTTTAGAAGATTTTCCTTCTCAAATTGATTATATGAATCAGATATTTTCACGAATTTTGTAAATTTTATGTCATAATTAATTTAAATATACATAAATGTTTGTTATTATTAAACATATTTTGTTATTAAAACAAATTTCTTTACAAATTTTATTTTATGTACTAAGTTTGAGACTGTTTAACAAATTGATGGAATGCATTTATCAAACATAACATTGGATTTAATTGAATAATAAGGAATTTATTTGATTTTGTTGGAATTCTCATTTCATATTAACTTTGAAGGGTGGTAAAGACATTGTAACACTTTTAGATGTTTAATATCATAAGAATTTAACCATTTACAACAGTATTTTTATCATGAATCTTTGAACTAATTCAGATTATTGATTTATTAACTTTATGATTATAATAGATGTTAAGGGTCCACTGTAAAAATTGAAAGTCTCTCAAAATTGAGAGGCGATTTGCAAATAATTGTTATCGTCTTTTTTTGAAAATCCACTTTTCCTAGTGTTCTGATTAATATTTTGTGAATGTAACAATGAAGTATATGTTTTAATAAGATGATAATATATTCTATCACTTCAAATCACATAAAAATTGCAAAATCAGCGAGTTTTATAAGAACATGATTTTTTCCTATTTTTTTTGCTTCTGGATGCGTGTTTTGAAAAATAGATATTTTCGAATTTTGATTTTATTATAAGTATGAATTTTATATTAGGAATTTTTTGACCTATTTCCAATCATTAATTCCTAAGTTTTTCTAGGAATTAAATTGAGAAGAAATTAGGAAATTCGCTTTAATGCCATTACATACTAATATTGTGATGCATGTAGTTTATATTTAAAGAGGCTAATGTCGGAATATCGTGCATTTTATAAAAAATTCAAAGAATTGACAATTGGATAGCACAAATTTAATTCTCCAGACAAAGTATTATTGTTTATATATTCAAAACATTATCCTTAGTTTTGAAATGTTGGCAAAAAATTTTCGTGTTATTTTTTGTGTTTCAGCATAAATTATGTATTTACTTATGAAAGATAAGCATTTTATTCATTATCATAAAGATATACCATAACAAATTGATAACATTTAAAAAAAGTGTATTTTAGTGGGTATTATTCTGGCCAATGCCCATTTTTAAACGATTTAATATTGACCATATCAATAGCCGACTCAATGTAAAAATTTAGATATTATTTTTTTCATTATTCAAACTTTGATAAATTTTAGTATAATAAATGATTTTGTTTCGTGTATGATACAGAAATGAAAAGCTTAATTAATATCATTTTGCATTTTTTCAAGAATGTTAGAGTACATCTACATTAAAAAATCGGATTCGAATTGCGATACTGCATCAAATTGTTGCACATCTGATAAGGATCTCAAAAGAGTAAAGTTAATTTTTTTGTGTTTTTTTAAGTTTTGGGTCTTAGTAAAACACCATCTTGAGCAATATTTTTGGGATGACGATAGGCCTTATTTGGCCTTACAGTGGACCCTTAATTTCTACCTCTGGACAATTTGACCAACATTCATTATATACACCTCAAATCAACAGAAATAGATAGTATACAATGTGATAAATACACATATATGTAGAAGCTGAGATGATTATGAAATCTCAGGTTTCTATAAATAAATTTAATATTCAATTTTATCGAAGTTTTTATTAAATTATTGATGTAAATATTATAATTAGAATCTCCTAAATATTATCGACCAATGATGGAAATATATTATTTAAAATTTTATATTAAATCCATCAATTCCACCTTTGGGGGAGGATTCTCTTAGAAGTGGTATTTATGACCCTATGGTAGGTTTTCATGCATTATAGTTTGATATCTGGAGTTGTGTGTTATTCTTTATTCTTTTAATATTGAGCATGATAATATATTTTACCTTTTGAAGAACAGCGTTCTCATCATTATTTTTTTAGCAGATATTTGCCCCATGCGAAATAAGAAGCTCGGTTATTTCTTTGTAATCGTTTTCTTCTGCAATATGAAGTGCTCATTAATATTTGCACAATGTGAAAGAAGAAGTTCTACTATCTGATTATTATTAAACATTGCTGAAATATGAAGGACGGTCATTCCATCTTGATCTTTGATATTGATTTCTTCACCTCATGAAAGGAAATAATCCCAAAATGATGGAATATTAAACATGGTTGAAAAAATGAAACATGTGCTAAAATTATTAGTTTGATCGAAATATATTAACAATAATTCAAGATTATGATAATCTCCACAATAAAATAAGTTGATCTCTATATTGTACTCATTCATCAAGAATGTAACAAAATCAATGTTGTGTGAAATAATTGCATATTTCATATACCCATTACCTGGTATTAGATATTTCAAACATTCACTCATGATCTCTGGTCTTCCTCCTAAAAATGAAAACTCTAGACATTTTTGAGTTATTTCTGATTTAAATTTCGATCTTAATAACTTGAAACAATCAACTGTACCGTGATAACAACATAATTCAAGTAATGAATATCCTTCTTTAGAATATGGATATAAATTGTTTTGATCTTAATCAAAATCTTCTCTTTCTGTGAAATTAATGAGTTTTTCTTGATCATTGTTCATAATTGCTCTGAAATTTGAACTTTTCGAATAACTATCTATAACGTCAGTAAAAAAAGTCCATACCATTTTAAAAAGTCTATACTACGGGGCACTTTTGAATGTAAGATGGAAAGTTTGAGAGTAAAGTTGCTATATGTCTCCCAATATATCAACCCTGAAAATACGTAATTTCCATGAAAAATAGTTTTGGTATAACCTATCAAATTGAACCACAAAATGAACTGATGAAGGCTAAACTTTCAGGAGTGATATAATGAGGGATTTAGAGCAACTTTGCTCTCAAGCTTTCTCACCTTACATTCAAAAGTGTACCATGGTAAAATATCTAATTTAAATTATAAATTTTGATAAAGTTTATAGATATAAATTGATACAATAATAATTGCAGAGCCAAAAGAAATATGATATTCATCCAGATACTTATACTATCAAATAAATTCAAAGCAAAATATGAAATATAGTGGAGGGATAAATAATAAAGTTAACCAATAATTATAAGTGACAAATGTAAAGGTTTTAAAGTGATTTAGAATAATAACAAGTAATATTTAGTATTTTAGGTTATATATTAGAAATAGATCATCAAGTAGCACCATGTTCGGTTAAGAATTTAACAATATCAATTGAATTTTTGCGAATTGCAATAGAAAGTGGAGATTCAATATTACAAAATATATTTGATAAAATAATGATTAATATGAAATGAAAGAGAAAATAATATAATAATGATTAATATGAAATGAAAGACAATTCTATATAATAATGATTAATGTGAAATGAAAGAGAACGTTATATAATAATGATTAATGTGAAATGAAAGAGAATATAGTATAATAATGATTAATATGAAATCAAAGTGAATTTCATATAATAATGATTAATGTGAAATGAAAGAGAATATAGTATAATAATGATTAATATGAAATCAAAGAGCATGCCATATAATAATGATTAATATGAAATCAAAGAGGATATCATTTAATAATGATTAATATGAAATGAAAGAGAATGTCGTATAATAATGATTAATGTGAAATGAAAGAGAATATAGTATAATAATGATTAATATAAAATGAAAGAAGATTCCATAAAATAATGATAAATATGAAATCAAAGAGAAGTTTATATAAAAATGATTGGTATGAAATGAAATTGGGTAAGTTTAGCATTAACATCAGCGCCATGTTCAATTAAGAATTTAACAATATCAATTGAATTTTTGCGAATTGCAATAGAAAGTGGAGATTCAATATTACAAAATATATTTGATAAAATAATGATTAATATGAAATGAAAGAGAATTCTATATAATAATGATTAATATGAAATGAAAGAGAACACAATATAATAATGATTAATATCAAATGAAAGAGAATTCTATATAATAATGATTAATATGAAATGAAAGAGAATTCTATATAATAATGATTAATATGAAATGAAATAGAATATAGTATGATAATGATTAAAATGAAATCAAAGAGAATATCCTATAATATTAATTAATATGAAATCAAAGAGAATTCCATAAAATAATGATTAATATGAAATGAAAGAGAATTCTATATAATAATGATTAATATGAAATGAAATAGAATATAGTATGATAATGATTAAAATGAAATCAAAGAGAATATCCTAATATTAATTAATATGAAATCAAAGAGAATTCCATAAAATAATGATTAATATGAAATGAAATTGTATGAGTTCAGCATTGACATCAGCGCCATGTTCAATTAAGAATTTAACAATATCAATTGAATTTTTGCGAATTGCAATAGAAAGTGGAGATTTAATATTACAAAATATATTTGATAAAATAATGATTAATATGAAATGAAAGAGAACACTATATAATAATGATTAGTATGAAATGAAAGAGAATTCTATATAATAATGATTGATTTGAAATGAAAGGGAACATAATATAATAACAATTAATATAAAATGAGAGAGAATTTCACATAATAATGATTAATATGAAATCAAAAAGGATTCCATAAAATAATGATTAATATGAAATGAAAGAGAATATCATATAATATTAATTAATATGAAATGAAAGAGAATATCATATAATAATGATTAATATGAAATGAAAGAGAACTCATATAATAATGATCAATATAAAATGAAAGAGAATATCATATAATAATGATTAATATGAAATGAAAAAGAATTCTATATAATAATAGTTAATATGATATCAAAGAGAATATAATATAATTATGATTAATATGAAATGTAATTGAGTGAGTTTAGCATTGACATCAGCGCCATGTTCAATTAAGAATTTAACAATATCAATTGAATTTTTGCGAATTGCAATAGAAAGTGGAGATTCAATATTACAAAATATATTTGATAAAATAATGATTAATATGAAATGAAAGAAAATATAGTATAATAATGATTAATATGAAATCAAAGAGAATGTCATATAAAAATGATTAAAGTAAAATGAAAGAGAAGTTCATATAATAATGATTAATATGATATCAAAGAGAATATAGTATAATAATGGCTAATATGATATCAAAGAGAATATAGTATAATAATGGCTAATATGATATCAAAGAGAATATAATATAATTATGATTAATATGAAATGTAATTGAGTGAGTTTAGCATTGACATCAGCACCATGTTCGGTTAAGAATTTAACAATATTAATTGAATTTTCCTGAATTGCAATAGAAAGTGGAGATTCAATATTATAAAATATATTTCATAAAATAATGATTAATATGAAATGAAAGAGAATTCTATATAATAATGATTAATATGAAATGAAAGAGAATGTCGTATAATAATGATTAATGTGAAATCAAAGAGGATTCCATAAAATAATGATTAATATGAAATGAAAGAGAATGTCGTATAATAATGATTAATATGAAATGAAAGAGAATGTCGTATAATAATGATTAATATGAAATGAAAGAGAACATAATATAATAATGATTAATATGAAATGAAAGAGAATGTCGTATAATAATGATTAATGTGAAATCAAAGAGGATTCCATAAAATAATGATTAATATGAAATCAAAGAGAATGTCGTATAATAATGATTAATGTGAAATGAAAGAGAATGTCGTATAATAATGATTAATATGAAATGAAAGAGAATGTCGTATAATAATGATTAATGTGAAATGAAATAGAATATAGTATGATAATGATTAATGTGAAATGAAAGAGAATATAGTATAAAAATGATTAATATGAAATCAAAGAGGATTCCATAAAATAATGATTAATATGAAATGAAAGAGAATGTCGTATAATAATGATTAATATGAAATGAAAGAGAATGTCGTATAATAATGATTAATATGAAATGAAAGAGAATGTCGTATAATAATGATTAATATGAAATGAAAGAGAATGTCGTATAATAATGATTAATGTGAAATCAAAGAGGATTCCATAAAATAATGATTAATATGAAATCAAAGAGAATGTCGTATAATAATGATTAATGTGAAATGAAAGAGAATGTCGTATAATAATGATTAATGTGAAATGAAAGAGAATGTCGTATAATAATGATTAATGTGAAATGAAATAGAATATAGTATGATAATGATTAATGTGAAATGAAAGAGAATATAGTATAAAAATGATTAATATGAAATCAAAGAGGATTCCATAAAATAATGATTAATATGAAATCAAAGAGAATATAGTATAATAATGATCAATATGAAATCAACGAGAATGTCATATAATATTAATTAATATGAAATCAGAGAGAAGTTTATATAAAAATGATTGGTATGAAATGAAATTGGGTAAGTTTAGCATTAACATCAGCGCCATGTTCAATTAAGAATTTAACAATATCAATTGAATTTTTGCGAATTGCAATAGAAAGTGGAGATTCAATATTACAAAATATATTTGATAAAATAATGATTAATATGAAATGAAAGAGAATTCTATATAATAATGATTTATCTGAAATAAAAAACAATTTTATATAATAATGATTGATATGAAATGAAATGAAATATAATATAATAACGATTAACATAAAATGAAAGAGAATTCTATATAATAATGATTAATGTGAAATGAAAGAGAACGTTATATAATAATGATTAATATGAAATAAAAGAGAACTCTATATAATAATGATTAATATGAAATCAAAAAGAATACAGTATAATAATGATTAATATGAAATCAAAGAGGATATCATTTAATAATGATTAATATGAAATGAAATTGAGTGAGTTTAGCATTGATATCAGCGCCATGTGAAATAAGTATTCTTAGTGCATCTATATTATTATACATTGCGGCGTAATGAAGAGCAGTCATTTTATATATATCATGATAATTGACATCAATTTTGTCAGTTGAGTTAAATAAAAATTTGAAAATATCGGAATTTTGTGACATGCATGCATATTGTAGAATATTTCTTTTCTTAAAATCAATTTTATCAGGAAGTTTTTCATTTTTGAGAATATCTATTGTTTGAGGAAATGCAGCACACCATGGAACCATGAAGTTTTTCTCTCTTTTGAAAAGAAGAAACACAGCTTTCAGGTTTTGGTATTTGATAATATCTTCGTAAATAGCTGTTGAAAGTGAGTTTCTTCCATCGAAATCTTTATAAGTAAAAATATTTCTTTCTAAAACGAATTCAAGCATTTCGTTGTTATGTGAACACACAATGTCTCTGAGACAATCTTTGTCCATCTTATTATCCTTTAAACATTCGTTGATAATGTCAGTATTTCTACCAATTAACGAATATTGAAGACATTTTGTTGATGGAGCGTACTTTTGATTTGAAATTAAGAAAAAGAAAATGTTTACAGATCCAAAATATGCACATGCTTCAATTAATGATAAATTGAAATGACCATATTCATTCAAATCAGGAATTTTTAAAAAATTATCATTTTTAGGTTCTGCTTGTGAAATATATTCCTTAAATTTATCAATTTGATCATGCATAACAATAAATTCGACTGAACCCTCTAATGGGAATGTTAAATTCGAAAGCTTCTTATTATCAAAGCCAATATTCTTGAGAATTTTTATATAATTTTCTCCTGATGTATAATTATATTGAAGTGCTTTTAAAATGATCTCGGTGAGTTGGCTTTTGGTAAGTTGATATTTCGAAATCAAAACATTTGTGATGATATCACACATGCATTCAACAGATTCATTGGACTTTATATGAAAAAGCTTTTCAAATGCTCCAATAAAGTCCGAGTATGGCTTAGCATAGTCAGAACTCATTTTTTTTATATTTTGATCGTTTGCAAGCATTCAAATTTTGAATCTCAGATTTGTTGATGATAGTATACACCATTAAAACCTTAACTGACCAAAATCATGAAAATCTATTTCCTCCAAAATTCTTCCAAAAAAAACTCGAATTTTCACCTTATTTCTTTGATCAAAAGGACAATATACCCTTTGTAAGCTTATTTATCGATATTAATAATGTAATTATTAATGTGACAAATTTGTGGTGGTTTTTACGGTTTGGCTCCACATATTTTTGATTGTTTAGGTCATAGTATGTACTAATAAAGGTTCTTATTAATATGCTATGGGGATAAAGATGAGTCTTGCTGTCATTGATGATAACAACGCACTTTTGCTGAGCATATTAAAAGAACCTATTTAAAAAAACAAAACTAACACACAGAATATTCATTTTAGATTAACTCTAAAACTCTAATTTAGAAGTCCCTTCAAAATTAAATCTACAAAAGTATTTTTAATTTGATTTTCAATTGAATTCAACTCCCTTCCATAACATGAATAAAAATTATTCTTTAAATACTTAATTATCTTTTTCCTTTTTTACAGATCCTATAAAGTTCATCCTAATGCTAATTTGTAATAGGCCACCATATTTTAATCATTTTAGGGCCTATTATGATCATAAACAATACCTATTTTGAACCACCAGAGTTCAAATGTATTACATTCAGATTTTATTGCATTTGCACAAATAATTTTAAGATATTTCGAGATTTGTCGAATTTTCTTACTAAAACACCCCGATACTATAAAACTTTATGCGTAAAGGATGCAATTTGCAGTATCAATGTTCTGAATATGACATTTTTCTCCCTAATAACACAGTTTCCAATTCTCTAATATTCATAAAAAGTGACAGTTTTAAAAATTTTATTTCTATTAGGTTTCGTAATCCAAAATTCATTAAACAGCGACAATTTCGAGTCGCTGAAGCAATCAGGAAAACCACTGGTTGTCAGGTTTAGTTCAGAACATTTCAAAAACAGCGTCAGATTGAATTTCGATTGGGAGACATTTTCTGAACAGTACAGAGATATTCCAAATGTAACGATAGCTTACATCAACTGCGGAAAGTACAGACGCTTGTGTTTGAAAGAGAATGAATGGGAACCACCAGCAATTCATTTATATATGAATAACCAAGTACATATTTATGATGGTGGTATGTCACACGATTCACTTAATGCATGGCTAGCAAATAAAACCGGATTAATTGGAAATTCGGTTCAATCAAACTTATTATCACCAAATAACAAGACATGGCATCAATTATTCAACCAGAAATCATGCATATTTACACTATTTTATGAAGATAAATTCAAAGAAAAAGAAGAACTTTTGAATGAAATGAAAATCACTGCAGATGCATTTCAAAGAGAAAAAGACGTTGCTGTTTGCGAAATTAACATACACAAATTCAGATCTTTCTTCTTTGATTTTAAAATCAGAAAAACTCCAAGATTTCAGTTAAATGTTAACAATGAAGAGATTCTTTATGAAGGACATCGCAATGCGAAGGATATGGTTAGCTTTATAAACAGCTACTGCGATAAAATGAGAACAGAAAAAGGAACATTAAACCAAAATGCAGGAATTATTGAAGAATTCCAGCCAACAGTTATAGAATTTTTGAAATCACCATCAGAAAAACAATTGAAGAGCTTATTGACTAAAGAATCCGCAAATGTTTACATTGATATCATGAAATCTATCCTTGATCATGATGTTAACTGGATTTACAAGGAATCAGAACGTCTCCAACACGAGTTTGATGCTCTTCCTTCTGGAAGTATTCCTTCTGATGACGAAATCATCAGGTTTAATGTTATTTCAGAATTTATTTCGCTCAAAGAGGATAATAAGCTTTAAATAATAATAGATTTTGTTTCCCACAGTATTGCATCATTCAATTGATGCAATATTGCCAAAATTTGTTTTTATGTTTTAAAATATATCTGTTTATTCTTGAAAATTACTTATTTTATTCATTTTTATGCATTTTTCTAGTTAGTAAAAGCAAATATTGAATTCTCATCACAGATTTGGCTCTAGACAACAAAATATAAGATAAATAAGTTAAAAATGACAGCAATAAATACAGTTGTCAAATACATTCAGGTCAATTTATTTATAAAATTTCATGGATGATGAAGATCCTTTCGATCTCGATAAAATTACTAATGAGCGAAAGGAGGAAGTACTTTCAGCAACTTATTATGACTACAACCAATTAAATTTTATAGATTCACTTCATAAAACAGCAAATAATTTGTATATCGATTTTTCTAATGATGTTATCAACTCAAGTGACCAAAATCAAGAATTAATGTTTCTTGCACACCAAATTTCTTCGGCTGATAAAGATTTAATCAAAAGTATAATCTCACCAGAAATATTAATCTATTTATATAACGCATTTATGGCTTCTTCACCAAACGATGCACGATTGCCATTTATAAGTTACATAATATATTACGCTCTTCTTAATGTAGATGAAATAGATATTTTTATGACCCCAGAATTCATTGAAAAGATATTTACTTTAAACAAGAATGTTTCACAAGATGTTAGAGACAATATAGAACACATATTTGCATTTCTAAATTACCGGTATAATTTTAGCCAAAATTGCCCTCCAGAAATCGCATTTGAATATATCAAGGCTATTACAAATCCTATTGTTCAAGCTTGTTGCTATAGCAATCTTAATCAAAGGAACAATAAATTCCAACCAGATGAACTACTTTCGCTAATAGATTTCGGATTTGCTATTCTTTCAAATAGCAATGATGACAAGACAAGTGATACAATACTTGCAGGCTTGGCAATCAATCTTTCAGAATTAGATAATATTTCTCCTTATCGTGGCGCCGAAGCTATTGTTTTACTTAATCAATCTGATTCTATAGGCAAGATATTATATTTGCTTCAAACAAAAACGGCTTCTTTTAATGCAGCAGCAGTAATTTATTTTCTCATGAAATTTGGCTTCAAATCACCAGAGTTTATTGATGATTTATTGAATATAATTCAAAATTCATTAGAACATCCAGATAATGTCGAAATTTTGGAAAGTATTCTCAAATTATACTCAAAAATCATCAAATTCAATGATATTCCAGTGAAGACAGAGCATTTCGATATGTTTGAAGATGTGTACTATGAATCCCCTCTCAAATTGAAGAACCAAATTCTGAATCTTTTGCAATCTTTCATAGAAAGGGATGGAAAGCAATTTAGTCTATGTTTTTCAAATGAATTCATAAAAGAAATTTTAGATACTGCAATAAATTGTCCAGATAATAGTGCAAAGTATCCATTAGACTTATTATCAGCTCTTTTTTTAATTAATCATCCATCAATTCGTGATTTGCGTGATACAGAAGAATTATATTCCCTGCAAGATCGAATTCATGAAATTAAACAATCATATTATTACGGAGAGTTAAATAAGAGTGCTGATAAATGCTTGATTGCATTAGATACATTTATTGACAGTATTAGGTCCTACAACTCGGATTTATCTGATTAATATCAATTTTTTTTTCTCTCTCTGATATAATAAATATAGATGTTTATTAACTATTATTAATGTAGAATAACAGTATTAACTTTTATAAATAGGTCATCATAGGATATGTATCACTCTTTGAAAGTAATCTCAGCTCCTTATGTTTAAATAGATATCTTTCTAATGGAGTAAACATCAATGAAAAAAATAAAAATGGATATACTGCTCTTTAATTCGCAACAATGAATGATAGTAAAGGAACTATTGAAATTTTGCCTGGAGCAAACATCAATGAAAAAGATAAAAATGGATATACTGCTCTTTAATTCGCAACAATGAATGATAGTAAAGGAACTATTGAAATTTTGCCTGGAGCAAACATCAATGAAAAAGATAAAAATGGATATACTGCTCTTTAATTCGCAACAATGAATGATAGTAAAGGAACTATTGAAATTTTGCCTGGAGCAAGCATCAATGAAAAAGATAAAAAAGGTCCTTCATATTGCTCTAACAAACCAAAAGTATGCAGCAACAGATCTTCTTCTTTCCCTTATTTGAAATATCAAAATCCTGAATTATCAAAGGTCCACTTACGTAAAGTCCTTTCATGAGCCTTGTAGTGGATTTTCGGCCTTGTAGTGTCGATTTTATGGCGATGTAAACCTCTTGATGACACTGTAAAGTTGTATTTTACATGACATTTTTCTGGTTTACCCATGACATCCTTTCAATTTTTTTGATCATTAAAATATAGACAAGATTAGAAAAAAAAGCTAATTTAAAACATAAAATAAATATAACCTAGTGATTACTTCCTCTTAGAATTAGATTTCCTTGGCTTTGGAGGTTCTTCATCTGAATCAGAATCTAATAATTTCCTTTTTGGAGTCGATTTCTTTGGCTTAGGTGGTTCATCATCATCAGAACTAATTAATGGTTTCTTTGGAGCCGATTTCTTTGGCTTTGGAAGTTCTTCTTCCGAATCAGAATCCAATAATTTTCTCTTTGGTGCTGATTTCTTAGGTTTTGGAGGCTCATCATCATCTGAGCTAATTAATGACTTCTTAGGAGTAGACTTCTTTGGCTTTGGAGGTTCTTCGTCATCAGAATCCAATAATTTTCTCTTCGGAGCCGATTTCTTTGGTTTCGGAGGTTCGTCATCATCAGAACTAACTATTGGCTTCTTCGAATTTGATTTCTTTGGCTTTATTTCCTCTTCATCTGAATCAAGATTTTTCTTTTTCGGCGTAGACTTCTTTGGCTTTGGTGGCTCATCATCATCCGAGCTAAACAACTCTTTCTTCGAATTAAATTTCTTCGGTTTCGGTGATTCATCGTCTGAATCAAGAATTCTTTTCTTTGGAGTCGACTTCTTTGGTTTTGGCTCCTCTTCTTCATCATCAGAGTCTTCTAGTCTTCTCTTTGGTTTCCTTTCTTGTTCAATGCTTCTCTTCTTTGGAGATTTCTTTGGAATTTCTTCTTCTTCAGGTTCATCATCGTCATCCAGCTTCAATTTTCTCTTCGGAGTATTGGACTTCTTTGGTTTCACCTGTATTTCATCTTCGCTCTCTGAATCAGGTTTAAGGGACCTCTTTTTTGTCACTTTTTGTCCGAAAACTTTTTCATCATTGATATCAAAGTTTTTAGACTTAATAACATCATCTTCATCAGAATCATCAGAGCTTACTATGATCACAGGTTGTTCCTTTTGATCAGGTTCGATGAAAGCAACTCTTGAATGTGGCGGATTACTTGTTTTGTTGCTAATTACCTCTGGCTCCTTGTTTTCAACGATCAATGGCATTGTTCCTGGCAATGTAATGACCTGTGTCATTATTTCTGGTGCTTCGAAGGCGGAAACGTCTTCTTCAATGACATATCTCATTGAATCTGTTTCGTAAACGGCCATTTCACCAATATCTATCTCCGTAATGTCGCCACCATCCTCGACAACCTCTCCTTCATGTTGGTACGGCAATGGGAGATTGAATTCCTTGCAAACGGCCGAATGTTTCGAACCGTTTTTGAATTTTCGGGATAAATAAGCGACATCTTCTGTTTCCAAGTACGGACAACCGAGTCCAAGTCTTCTGCGGCGTGCATAGACTGCGTTGAGTGCTGATGATTGGAGTTCTGTTAACTGCCTGATCGTTGCCTTGTTCTTTTTAGATAATTCAATTGTCGCAAGCATATCTGACATGGAGAACTGGAATTCAACGAGCGCTGGTGCTGAAACAACTGCATCTGCAAGCTCCATCCAGATTTGGATACCTCTTAAACCGTTATCTGTGATATCGAAATGTTTCAGTGTAGGAATGGCTCGGAGAGCGCCAACAGCAAGGGATACACCTCTATCACCAAGTCCATTGTTGCTCAGATCAAGATATTTGAGCTTTCTGGCAGAAATTTGTTCGATAAGTGGATAAATGGCGGATTCTAGCTTCATTGTTGGGCCACCTTGGATAATAAGGTATTTAAGTGACTTGATCTCGATGATTCCTGGGAGAATGTTCAAGATATTTTCTGTCTTTGAAGAAAAGTTACGAGAAAGGGAAAGGCGCTTGAGTTTTGGCATCATTATTAATAATGGTAAGAAGTTCTTGAGGTCTGTTGCGTTCATTCCGTTCTCATCCAAAATAATTGATCTCCATTTTTCGAGATTGCTATCAAGGAAGGCTCCGAACATCGGCATGAGTGCAGCTCCATGTATTGCGAGGTTGCTGAGGTTCAAATCGAATCTCTTCAGGTTATCATTTTCAGCAATAGCTTCAATTACATGGGTAATGCTCTTTGGAGCCAATCCAGTACCGCTAATATCAAGCATCTCCAAGGTCTTGGACTCTCTGATGAATTCAAGTAAGTCTTCAAGGGCTGCAAGGTTAATTTGGGTTCCAGAGAGGGTTAAATGGGTCAGAGGAGGTGCGTAACGGCGGATAAGGCTCAGAATTGCCTGACCACTGTTGGCAATTCCACCCAAATCGAGTTTCTTCAGCTCATCGCTTTGACAATCGAGCCATTTATCAAATGAGGCCACACAGTCCTGGGAAAACTCAGCGCCATGGATCTGGAGAACCTCCATAGAGCGTTGGAATGTGTTTGCTTCGAGAGCTTTGAATAATTCGTTTGTTTGGTTCGCTTTTATGCCGCAATTATTAAGGGAAAGGACTCTGATCGGTTCCTTTTGTGCAGAAACAATGACTGGGAAGAAGTCAAAGTCAGTAATTTTATTTTGATCTAAACACCAGTAAGCGACAGGTAATTCTCTGTTTGCTTTGAGAGCTTCTGATATCTGTTTCATACCTTGCGTGATTTGGCAATTTACGAAGTAAAGAATCTTAATTGAAGTACTTTTTGAAATAATATCAGCAATTCCTGTGAAAAGCTCAGGCTGAGAAACATTTACGCAGCAGAAACCTGATGTGAACTTCATATAGTCAACAGCTTTCAAAACAGGCAAAAGATCTCTTCTATCAATAAAAAGATCAACAGGAAGTAATGAAATATCGAAAACTCCATTTCGAGCAAGAACCATTGAGTGAAGGAAACGAACAGCTTCGTTTCTAAATGGTCTCATTTCCTTTGCACAAAGAGATGCGTATGCAAATTGGAATTTTTGCGAATTTGAAAGTGGTAATTTGATAGGTGGGAAGAGGGACATATCGTAAGAACGTAGCTCGCATGTTTCTTCTATTGTTAAATTGGAAAATACAATTTGATAGTTTCTGTAAAGAATTTGAGCAACACGGAGTGCTTCAGGTGCAGTAATAACAAGAGATGTATCTTCCGATTGTGCTAAAAGGTATTTTTCTTTTGAGTATGCGATTAAAATAATATCTGCTAGGTAAATTCTTGCCATTTTCTCGAGTTTTTTACCATTTTTCTTGTAGGCATAAAGAATGAATGGTGTGCAAACTACGTAACAATCTTTGTAAAGTGTCTTGAAGTTTCGAATATCAGATCTAAAGGCAATTAATATATTTTTATGGCCTTCAACTATTGCTCCCTTAACCATCTCGATTTCCTCAGGTGTCATTCGAGGATACCGCTCTGGTTCGGGAATATTCATCTTCATACGCTGCATTTTTTTTTTAATTTATTGAAAATTTTTTTTGTTGTAAACTTTTTTTCACTAGAAATTATTCGTTACATCTAAGAAAAAACAATATAATTCTAATATAGCATTCTTATAATTAGCTCGATTTAGATTTCCAATTTGGTGGTGATGCCTAGCAATTCTCCAAAATATTTTTCCTTTGAATACAATAAATACCGTCATTACTCTTGTCAAACACATTCAAATCTACTTATTGAACAATTGACTTTGGTTTCTTTTCCTCATTTTGAGTTAGGAATATTATTCTTAGTATAGGGCATATTATCGAGAGAAAAGCTAAGTTATTGAGACTAAATGCATAATATAGACTTTCACAAATATATTATAAAACCAATTTCATTTGATAATTATTAAACAAAATTAAAGCAAACAAGCATACTAATTCTATAAGATAAGACTAGGGCAAAATTACTCTATGAATTAGATTTAATTTAATATTATTATATAAAAAATCTTTATTATCTATTTAGAAATCATCAAGTGGATCCCAATCTCTAACAGAAGGTAAAAATGCAGAATTAGAATGCGGCATTGTCTTATTATTTGACGGCATCTGCAAATCCCAATCAAATGTTGGTCCGTCAAATGCTGTAGCGGTATCATCCCATGTATCATTAGTATAATTAATAGTGGAAAAGCAATCCACTGACATTGAAGTAGCTAAGTCTGAATGATGATTTGTTTCTGGATCGAATGGGCTTCCTTCGTCCATATTTGGAAGATCAAGTTCGATTTGGCGTGGTTTTGTAGGTGGAGGAGGTCTGATCTGTTGAGGTACGTAAGGCTGCATCGGTTGAAATTGCTGGAGTGGCCTTGGCATGGCTTGAAATGGCGGTGGTGGAGAGATATTTTGAGCAGCTGGCCTTTTTTCATCATATAGATCATCATCTGTAATAGCTGGAAGCTGAACATGAGAAAATGAAGATAAGAAACAAAAATGAGCATCATTTGATGCAAAGCGTACAGTCCATTGTCTAAGAATATTCTGTTCATTCTGTAAAGAAGGCATTACTGCAACTACGCAACTTCGAGCTTTCGCTTTAGTTCTGAGTGCAACATAACCCATTTGCTGGAAGCTTCCATTGATGGAAGACTTACATCTACCAAGGAAATTTTTGAGCTGACGTGTATTGACACAGATAAAAGGTCCGGCGAAGCATACACCTACTAATACACTTCTTTCTTCTTGATGAACGTCACTTCTTTCGATGAATTTAAGCACTGTAATTAATTCCTTACGGAAAGTAACGATACGTCGATCTTTTGATGAAATTTTTTGCCCTTGAAGGAAATTTGATCGAAGTCGCATGAACTCAGTGCGATCTTCTGGTGATAGAACACTCCAATAACTTGGAGGAAGTGATATTTCTTGATTCCGCATAGATAGATGGGGTTCCATTTACTTTCTTCGAAATTGAATCAAACTGCAATTTATAATCGTTACTAATATGTTGTATTATAACAAGCAGTAAAGATATAAAAATAAAATCTTTCTATCGTCTCCAAAATTGAATTGATATCGATAAAGGACAATAGGAAATTTCACATCATTCCCCCAAAATTTTGATTAAATATTTGGCGTTTATAATTTATTGAAATCGTACTGTCTAAACATAACTAAATCTAATGGCAGAAAGGGTTTTGCAAATAAATCATTTTTCAATATTGGACGGTAATTTCTAAATATTTCTTATCGATAACAGATACCTTGGTTCATTCCATTCTCATTGACCGGACCAATAGAATCATACCGAACAGGACAATTTAATTTTTATCAATTTTCAAACATCGAAATTTTTGAAAATTATCTTTTCTTTTATAATTCTTTGAGATAAAAGAGTAGCACAAAGAAAATTATATCTATTATTAATTATTAGAACATTTTTTTAAATGTCGAATGATGAACTTATGCAAACTTTGAATAAGGTTTCAGAACTAACTGCAAAAGTTGCAAGTGCAGAGAAAATAATCCAAGAAACCGATTCTTCTGAAAACGAACAAGAGAGGAAAAAGAAAATTATAGAAACCAAAGAAGAACTTGCTAAAACAAAAGAACAAATTGATCAATTTAAAGCTCAAATCATTCTTATGCAAGAACAATTTAAACTTCAACTCCAACAGCAAAGAAAATTGATGCAAAATACAAAGTAAATCCACTAAACTCACTAATGTTTGTCCAAAGATCTCAAAATAAATGATAATAGATATGAAAAGCAATTGAATTTCGTTATCAATTAATTTATTTTTGTTAACGAATTAGAATTTTCTTGAAACAATGCAAAATATCATCAACACACAAATATTGAACTGTATTCTGTCGCATTGTGACATTTACTACCATGAATTATATTTATTTTTTAATTTCTTTCCAGGCTATATTGATAAGAGTGCAAGAGCATGCTTTATTTACACTACATTCCAATTATTATATTAAAAAGATATATTGTTCAATAGTAAAAGCAAAATGTTTCTTAAATTCTATTTACTATTCTCTTATTCATCGATATTACATGTTTTCACTATTTTCTATAATCATTTCATTTGATTTCATATATTTTATAGAGATTTCAAAAAATAGCCTTAGCCATCCATAATAATTGTCATATTATGCGAAGGTATAAGGGAAAAGATACAAAACATAGAGGAAATGCTTTAATTAATTTTTTTTTTAAATATAAAAATACAAACAAGATTGTTTAAAAAACAAACAAACAAATTATTTTCCTGGAGCATCACCCCAAGGATTTTCTTCAATAACTTCATTTTGGAAGTATTCATCTGACCAATTATCAAGTTGAACTCTTGTGAAATGGAATTGCTCCTTTAGAGCTACTAAATCAACATGGTTTTTGGTGTAAAAACTCATGTGTAAAACATGAGACATTCTTGTAATTTTCCTTTTATCAAGTTGTTTGAAGTTAATTTCAATAACTGTGAGTTTTTCAAGTGTCGCAATAACAGCACTTGCAGTCAATATATTTTTAAGTTCACCAGATGTACAAAGATTCTTCAAAGTATGGATATTTTGGACAATTAAATCCATATTTCCTTTTGGATTTTCAGGATCAGGGAGTCCTAGCTGTAAATAGTAAAATAACATGGAAAATGCAAGTGTTGATGTAAATTCCGCTGCAGCACTGTCAATAGGAAGAAATGAAACTAATTCACCCATTGATTCTATTGGTAATTCTTTGAGTATCTCGGCAACAGCATTAGCAGATTTTCTCTGTTCAGATTTACTGAGTTCGCTAAGAGAATTTAGTAAATTTGATGGCAATACGTAGAATAATGGATTTCTTGAGATAGCTGATGTAAGAATTCCTCCTATTAGTATATAAACCATTTGTTTTATGACAGTCGTACTACATCTATGATACAATTGTGGTTTCATAAGTAAAATTGGATAAATTATCAGATTGCTATCAGTATTTAGTATTAATTTAAATAGATTATAAATGTATGAAAAATCCAGAATATCCATCGGTACAAATTTGAGTATATTAAAGATGGATTCCCCAAAAATAATATTTTTTGTTTTTGCAAGCGTCAAAAGAATCCTGTAAACAACTCTCGAATTTATCAAAATATCTTGTGGGGCTTTAAGTGCTGCATGATAAACCCATTTCTCAACTAACTCAAATTTATCAAATTCTGAATTTTTGTAAGTGTTTGTTGTTTCAATAAGATCAATTATTCCTTTGGGGAACTCGATATGTTTCTCACCGAAAATTGATCCATCTTCAAAATCAACTGTTTCATAATTTGCTTTTTCTTTAATTTCAGTAATATATTTCTTTTCTTGATTTTTAGTTTCTTGTGATTTAGACTCAGATAGATATTCTGTTTCTAATTTTCTTTCCTTTAGCAAATTATCGATATTCATTTCTCTTAAAAGTGCTTTTTCTTTTGCAGTTGGAGCATGTCTAGACCTCCAGAATTGTTGTATGTCTTCATCACCCGAAGATGATGAATAATCAAAGAGATTCTTTTTCATAAAAAATAAATAAAAAATTGCATAACGATTATTTTGTCACTTTTTACACACTTTTCCGGTTTTTGGCGGCTGTGGTCCGACCTTTTCAACAAATGTCTAAGCCAATGACTGAGGCACTCAAGAAGATCCAGGCACGCACTGAAGCCCAGAAGGCTGCCTACCTCAAGAAGAAGGAGGAGCTCGTCGCTGCTGCCAAGGCTAACGAAGCCAAGATCCAGGAGCGCGCTAAGAAGTACGCCGCTGAGTACGTCGCTCAGGTTAAGGCCGAAATCGATGCCGAGAACAAGGCCACAGCTGAAGGCGCTTTCTACGTCCCAGCCGAAGCTAAGTTCGCTTTCGTTATCCGTACAAAGGGTACAAACAAGCTCCACCCACATGTCCGCAAGATCCTCCACCTCTTCAGACTCAACCAGAAGCACAACGCTATCTTCGTTCGCCTTAACAAGGCTACAATCGAGATGCTCAAGCGCGTCACACCACAAGTTGCTTTCGGCTACCCATCTGTTGACATGGTCCGCAAGCTCATCTACAGACTCGGCACAGCTTCCCTCAACGGCCAGCGCATCCCAATTGTTGACAACCAGATCATCAAGGTTGCCCTTGGTCAGTTCGGTATTGAGTCTGTTGAAGACCTTGCTCACGAAATCTACACAGTTGGCCCACACTTCGCTGCTGCCAACCGCTTCCTTGCTGTCTTCAAGCTTCATGCTCCAAAGGGCGGCTACAAGAAGATCAACCGCGCTTACGTCGAGGGTGGTGACTACGGCAACCGCGAGCACCTCATCGATGAGCTTATCGAGAGAATGATCTAAATCATTTCTTTAGATTATACATTTTTCATACTAATTCAACTCTTTTTTATCGAGGAATTAATAATTATTCAATTACTTGATTTAAATTTAATTTTAAAATTTCATTTTTCTGAATAACGCTTTCAATTTATGAGCACTTTAGATAGTTTATGAGCGTGATATCGTTTAAATCTTCTTAATTTCAGTTTCAAAAAATTAAATAATATTATACTAGTGAATCATCAATTAAATGCTTGAATGTTATTCGTATTAATTTTTCAATAAGCTTCAAATGATTGTGTTGGTTTACTAATGAAATTAAGAAACATGATAAGAAGAATCGATAGTACATACATTTTAAATTCAAAAATTTCTATAAAAACAAAAAACATAATAATATTAAAAATTAGTATCTTTGTTGAGCTCTAGAAGAACCTCTTGGAGTCATCTTAATCGCTGCATAGTTTCTAATTCTTGGATTGACAGATGCGGGAGTAGCTCTAAGGGAAGATCTTTTAAGAGGCGTTGTTGTCATTCCTCCAGCTCTAGAAGTAATTCTTCCTGACGTCGTAGCTGTGTGCGAAGATCCTTCGATCTCAGAATCTATACGGTTTATTCTGTCTTGGAGTTTAGATTCGGCAATCTTTAGAGGATTGATTTCAGCATTTGCATCCATTTGTATTCTAAGCTTTTTTCTTTCCCATCGTTTTTCAAAACATTCTAATTGAGATTTTTGAGTTTCAATCAACTGCTTTCTTCTGGCTTCGAATGCTCTATTGAATTTGGCACGCTGAACTTCCATTTCTTCAAGTTCTAACTTATCTGCACGATCTCGGTAGAAAATTGCATCTTCATATCTTTTTGAATAAAAAAGATGCTTCTCTTGATCACGTAATTGTAGTACTTGTGGACTAAGCTTTCTGAAATTGGCTGGTAACGTAAAAGGGAAAGAATTGTTATTTTCTTCAAGTTCTTTTTGTTGATCGTTAATCAAAGCTTCTCTTTCAGCTTGATATTCTTGATCTGTTTCAGCTAATTTTTGGTTCCAATAGTCTTGAGTTTCTTGCAATTTCATCTGAGTCAAATTTAATTGGTCTTGTATTTGTGCTAGCATTGTAATTTTCGCTGCTGCATATGTAGCTTCGTATTTTCGTGAATTTAACTCTTGAATTAGATTCTCTGCGTGCTGTAAACCTCTATAATCTGCAACTAATTTAAGATCTTCAATTTTATCTTTTAATCCCTGAATAACTTCAGCTAATTGAGAATCATCAACTGTCTCTGTTGGTCTGCCATCCATTAATTCATCGACTAGTGGTGAAATAGGCTCATCAACAGTTGTAGAACGAGAAGTAGATCGAACAATAGTTTTTTGCCTGCGCGCAGATGTTGTCCTGTCTGTACCTAACTTTAAGCTTTTCATTAAAACTTGAATTCTTTTAACTTGAGCTGCATTTCCAGCAACAATTGCTTCGTTTTTTGCTGCTGAAAGTGGCATAAGTAATTGTGGATGATATTCAACAGGAATTTTCGCTAATGATCCACCGGCTACAAGAGCATCAACGTATTGACGCGTTTCTTCGGGCGAGAGACTCATTGTACGTTAGATGTCACTTTTTAAAAACGTGAATTTTTTTATTGAAGGTTCCTGAATTTCCAAATTTATATCTTTGAAATTAATGCAGATAAATAGCTTCTCTACCAAGCTTGACTTCAATCAGATATATGCTTGAGTTCCGAAGATTTTATTTCCGTTGATTTTCTATTAAGTATGGAATATTTATGATCCTATTAACAACTAAGAATATATTATTTTTTAATGAATATGAAATTGTATCAGAGTGACAAGGTCCGCATAAAATACTACAATGGAAGACATTTTTCTCATAAATAGAGCATGATAAACGATTATTCTCCACTGGCAATCAAAAATAATATTTCAGCATAATAATTTCCTCTTTCTTCATGAGAATTGCATATTTCTCTGATATTTCATTGAATAAGTTTGCATTTTCTGTTCAATTCTGTCTGAAACTCCACAACATTTGTGAAATGTCGGTCGGTTTTTTATTCAACATATTTTATTTCGTTGGCGTAGTACTATCCAGATTGAATCCCTTCCTAAACATGTCATGCATTTTTGGAAGACTGTATCCAGTGAACTCATGTGCAACTTCACCAGGATGAATATAATATAACTCATCACATCTAACAATTTCATGTACAAAAAATGCGCAAAAACAATTATTATACATTCAATTTACTTTCTAAAGAAAATCTTCGAAAATACCAGAAAACTAAAGGATATTTTATGTAAGAGCATTATTTTATCGCACCATGTGAAATAAGAAATCCAGTCATTTCTTTATGATTCTTATCAATGGCAATATTAAGAGCAGTTTTTCCATCTCCATCTTTTTCATTGATATTTGCACCATGTGAAATAAGAAGTTCAGCTGATCTTTTACAATTAAATTCTGCTGCTACTTGAAGAGCTGTTTTTCCATCTCTATCTTTTTCATTGATATTTGCGCCATGTGAAATAAGAAGTTCAGCTATTTCCTTACTATTAATATATGCTGCATAATGAAGAACTGTTTGTCCATTATTATCTTTTTCATTGACATTTGCACCATGTGAAATAAGAAGTTCAGCTGTTTCCTTACAATTGAACAGAGCTGCCATATGGAGTGCGGTTCTGTTATATGCATCTTTTTCATTGATATTTGCACCATGTGAAATAAGAACTTCTGCAATTTCTTTACTATTATAATATGTCGCAATATGTAGAGCGGTTTTTCCATTTTGAATTTTTCCATTGATATTCGCACCATGTGAAAGGAAGTATTCCAAAAGGGATGGAATATTAAAAATCGGTGAATAAACAAAACAATTGTTTATATCATTAGTTTGATCGAAATAAACCAAAAAGATTTCAAGATTATTGTAAAATCCAATGGATTCTAAATCGATCTTGATATTGTATTCATTCATCAAGAATGTAACAAAATCAACGTTGTGCGAAACAATCGCATATTCCATTGTACAGATATCTGGTGTTTGATATTTTAAACATTCGCTCATGATCTCTTGATTTCGTCCTAAAAATGAAATTTGTAAACATGTATCAGTTATTTCTGACTTAAATTTCGTTCTTAATAGCTTGAAACAATCAACTGCTCCATGATAACAACATAATTCAAATAATGAATATCCTTCGTAAGAGTCTGGATATAAATCACTTTTAAGTTTTTGATCTTTATCAAATTCTTCTCTTTCAGTTAATATGATGAATTTTTCTTTGTCATTATACATAATTGCTCTGTAAATTGTATCTTCTGAATGAATATCGAGATTTTCTGTTTTAAAAATTTCGACATTCTTAGATTTGTCTAATTTAATTCCATATTCTTTATAAAAAAGGAAGTTTGAAATAAATTCAACACGGTTGACATCTATGATATGGTAATCATCAGATATGAGTTTGGCAAGAAATAAATATGACTTTGTATAGCGATTATTATACGGAATTATATTTAAAATGTCTCGCATAATTATTCGGGCAGGCTATTTATTTGAATCAATCAATTCTGTTTTGATCATTTTGTAAATTGACTTTAATTCTTCTTCATTTTCCGTTTTTAGCTGATACAATGCAATATATGAATCGATGCAATATTTACAGATACTTCGTAATTTGTTGTATTTGCTTGGATGAACGTCTTGGTCGGACATAAATAATTTACCACCTTTAAATTCAAAAAGTGTAAAACTTCAGAATCCACAATAATATATTATTTGGATATTATATATAGTTACAAATATTATTGCCACTCAAAAAATCACGATTTCAATTTTTCTCGCAATCCAGCCTTGAAATATATATAAATTTTACTAAATATAAGCATTATATTATATGCTAATTGACTTTTTGCAAAGTTGGTAGTTAAACATGTATATATATATATTCCTCCAAAGTTCTTTCAATGAAATTGAAAGGGAGGAAAATGTTTTTACCCTCATCAAAACTTAAGACAATTCTAACTTCATTATGATTTGAAATGTGCATTGAAGCATGAAATGTTTTTGAAAGAGCAACTGACAATATAATTATAATGAATTTTTTTTCCTCTACAAATACTTTATATGAAAACATATTTAGTAAATTAACAATACAAACAAATAATTAGTTTAGTCCTCTTGTTGATTCGAAATGAGAAGTTTTTCAACAGCATCAGGAATTGATTGGCTTGGAGATAGTTCTAAGATATCTCTCAGCTGCTGATCTTGCTCAGTTAAGAAATTAATCCTAGATTTTAGCGCTTTAATGAAACTTTCAAATGTTCCTTCATCTAGTTTCGAAGAAACATTAAACATTGATGAGAATTGCAAGCCGATTTGAGATATAAGATTTCTCTTTGTTGATTCAATGCTATTCTTCATTTCTTCGAGTCTCTTCTGGTATTCAGTTTCTACAGATAAAATTCCAAGTTTGATCTTTGATTCTTCGCAAAGTTTCTCTCGTTCTAGTTCCGCTTTTGTTGCATTAAGTTCAATCTCAAGTTTTTTAATTTTGAGCTGCAAAATTGATGAATTTTCTTTTTCTTTATTATGCTGATCTTGCAATTCTGAGATTTTTGTGTTCAAACTATCAACGTTTGCTTTATTCTCTTGCGAGACAGAGCTATTATTTTGAGATAAATTAATGATTTTTTCCTCAAAAAGCTTTCTCTCAGAATCAATCCTTTCTTTCATCATTTTCTCAGTATTACTAAGATTCACTTTGAGTTCTTTGATTTCATTTGTTTTAGATTCACATCTATCAGTTAATTCATCGATTTGAGCTTCATATTGCTTTTCTTTGCCAATATATGCTCTAATTGCTGACTGTTTCTCATTTATTTCGTCTTTTTGTTTCTGGATTTCTGACAAAAGAGTCAGCAATTTTTGTTCATAAGTTTGTTTTTGAGAATCTAAAGCAATGATAAGATCATTTATCTTTTTATCATTAATAGATAATGATTCTTTGGCTTCATTTGCAGTTTTTTCATAGCGAGATTGAAGATTTTCGTTTTGAGTTTGCAATTCTTTAATTTGTGAATTCAATTTCTTGATTTCACGTTTAAACTCTTTTGCTAAAACTAATTTTTCTTTTTCATTCTGCTGAATATTTGACTCTAATTTTGAAATTTGATTTCCTTGCTTTTGATATGAAGAATTAAGAGCATCAATTGTTTGCTTCATTTCATGTATAGTTTCCAATGCTAATTCAGGTGTTTCTGAATCTAATTCAGTATACAATGAAAATAAAATTTCATCACAATGTTTATTTTGTTGAATAAGGGAATTAACGTTTTGTTCTAGCTCTCTAACATATTTATTGATTTCATATGCGAATTGGTCTTTGTTTTTAGTAACATTCTGATCTAATTTGAGATTTGCAAATATTTCATTGACATTTGTATAAAATCTTTGTTCATTATTATTTAATTCTTCAAATTTGTTCTTTTCTGTTTCAATATCTTTTGTTAGATTCTCAATTCTTGATGAATACCATTTTGCTATTGCAGATAAAACAGTTTTAAGTTTTGTAGGTGTTCTTAATGTTGGATTTGCAGAGATATCAGTAATAATATTTGATAATTCTGCAGGAAATTCTTTACACGTCCAATATGCAATTGGAATCATTGCAGATTCATCTATTTTTGATGTTGATGAAATCAATTTTTCTCTGATTGATTTATTCTCTAATTTGATGTTATCTCTTTCTGTTTGGAGTTCAAAAATAACTTTATCTTTTTCTTGAATCGAAATTTGAAGTTCCTTAAGTTTATTTGAGGCATCAGCCACTTGTTTATTGATTTGTTCATTATCAGATTTCAAGTTATTCATTGTTTCATTGTTAAAATCTATTTCTGCTCTTGATTTTTCTAAATCTAATTTCAAATTTCTGTTTTGTTCATTTAAAGATTCAATATTTTGTTTACTAGACTTCAAGACTGCTATTTGATCCTTATATTTATCTGTTAAATCGTTTAATTGCGAATTTAATTTTTCATTTTGAATTTTCAGCTTAGAATTCTCATTTTGGGAAAGAGAATAATTATGTTCTAAGTTATCTATCTTTTTATGCATTTGAGACTGTTTCTTTTCGATTTTTGAACTTTTTGAAATTAATTCGGAAATTTCTTCCTGAAGCTTGCTATTTTCTGCTTTTAACTTACTTATTTCAGCATTTTTGTTTTCAATTGTTGAGTTAAGTTTAATAATTTCATTTATTTTCATATTTTCAAATTCATTTCTTGTAATTTGAAGTTGTGTTTGAGCAGCAGTCATATCTTTAAGGCGCTGGTCTGATTCTATGGTTCTATCTGCAAGTTTCTGTTGAAGTGATTGTATTTTCTTTTCTTGATGCAAAAATGCTTGTTTGAAAGATTTCAACTGTTTTTCAAAAGATTTTTGTTGCTCTTGAAGCTTCAATTCATATTCTTTAGATACAGAAGCTTTTACTGACTCTTGAACTTCACGAATTTGTTGTTGAAAATCATTTTCAGAATCAGATTTTGTTGGTTGAATATTTTGTGGTTGTTTTACTGGTGTTTCAATGGTTTTGATTACTTCTTTTGGTGGTTTTGAAAACTGCTCTTGTAATTTATCAACACTATCAACCGAAACTTCAAAATAAGCGGAAGCAAATTGATAAATTTGATCAATTTTATGCTGAATAGAAGATATTTCTGTTTTATAATGCATTTCTTTATCTTTTAATTGATTATTATATTTATCTTCCGATTTTGAAATTGATTCTTGATAAGATTTGATTTTTTCTTGAAGATTAAGTATTTCTCGTTGATGAGCAGCTATCATTTGCGTCTTTTCATCATTGAATTTTGATTCAAGTAGTTTTATTTTGTTATTTAAAATGTCTATTTTGTTTTGATGTTCATTTATTTCTAGAATTTTATCTGATATGCTTTTATTAAGCGATGCATTTTCGTTTTGCAATTGATTGAAGGCTTCATTAATTTGTAACGCATTTTGAAATTGGGAATTAAGTTTCTCATTTTCGGCTTTCAATACTTCATTCTCGTGCTGAATTGCTTGAATCATTTCTGGCGTGATTTCGTCTGATTTTTGAGCCAGCTGATTAGGCGATGTATCCATTAAAAAATTATCAATTATATAAAATGGAAAATCATAAATTGTGATATAAATTTTATATAGTAATGCCCACTAAATCTTGAAGTTTTTAAAATATATCATCAATAATGAAATCTTCATTAGATATTTTTGCCTATTAACAATAATTAAGATAGATAATATTCTTTATTCACAAGATTGTTTAAGTTTCTCATTTGCAAGGAATATATCTTTAATTTCATCATTTGCATAATCAAATGCTGTTTTTTCAAATGAATCTTTAATAGTCAAGTCGACATCTTTGAATGATAGAAGTATTTCAACGATATTTTTATGATAATTTCTTACAGCATGATGCAATGGAGTTGATCCACTTATATCTTTTTTGTTTGAAATTGATGACTTTGTTTCAAGACAAATATAAACAATTTCTTCGTTATTATACTCGCATGCATAGGAGAGACAGTTCCGTTTTTGATCATCGCAGTAACTTATATTAGCTTTGCTATCAAGACAATAAACAAACAGCTTCAAATTATCACTTTTTGCGCATTCAATCAAGCATTTGTTGAAGAGATTGATTTTATTAAATATCAGATGTTTCTTTTCATTAAGAATCCAGAAAAAGATATCATTCTGATGGAAATAGCAAGCATATTGTAAATAATCAATAAAATCAAATCCTTTTTCATCGAGAATTCGAATTATTTCTAAGTTTCCGCTTTGTATTGCATAATATTGAAGATTTGAATTTCTTTTAGCGATGTAATTTTCCAGCAAATGGTTCAAACAGTTTATAGATCCGAAATAGCACGCTATTTCTATTATTTCTTTTGATTTACGCAAATAATAAGGTATAGAAAATACTTTGTCATTTTTTGTCGTTTTTGTTTTATAAGAATCACTATCAACATATTCTATAAGCTTGTTAACATCATCATTGACTATTATACTTAGAAGCTCATTATTGGCAACTAGATTATCAAATGAAATTTCGTTTTTATACCTTTGAAAATCATTTTTCTTGTATGATTCAAAATCAAACAAAAATTTTTTGCAATTTTGATCTTTCAAGTTGTATTTAAGGTATGCATCTATTCTTGAATAAAGACTAGGATTCATTATAACAATAGGCGATAGGATAAAGAAAGAAATGAACAGTTGATTTGGTCCTTTGTTCAGATTTTTTTCCAAATTTTCAAAAATCATATTTTCTGTGATAAATCCTTTTTTGAATAGCTCAAAAATAAAGAAGAACAATACTTCAACTCTTTGATACTCTGTTTCTGATTGCTGTTCAAAGCATTGTGAAATAAAAATTGAAATAAAATCTGATTTCTTTTCTGTCATATAAGCTACAAAGTTTCCTAGCAAGTTAAATAGATGATTTTTTGCTAACAAAATTTTAATAATGCAATTGGATAACTTTTGAGATAAATTTTCATTCGAAAGAAGATCTTCTTTTTCGAGCTGCTGATATATCTCTTCTTGATTGGAATCTGTTATGCTATTAATAATATCTTCAATCTTTGAAGTTGCAATAGCAAGAAATTTGTGAAAAGAAGATATTTTTTAAAAGTGTCACTTTTCGAAAATGTTCAGGGTGATTTCAAATAAATTGAATCTTGATTCATATTCCCGATATGAAATACATGCAGAATTTATTCTTTTTTGTTTCTTTCACGCAATGTTTTCAGATCCGGAAATTTGTCGGGCCCAAAACTCTTTATAAACTAGGATGCTTACTCGATCCATCATTTATGTTATTTTTCTGGTATGGTTCATAGTGCAAAACGTTAATTAATAGCAGATTACACAATTTGGTTTTGACAAACTCGGAGTTCAATTAATTTTATTCGGATTAATATCATTGTTACATAATTGCATTGCTAAATCTATAATACGAAGCATAAAAACGATATCACCGACTAAAAAACAGTTCATTTTCTGATAAACCATTTTATCGATTTTACGTGAAATATCGGATCAATACTTTTTAGTAAACAGGCTGATTTTATTTATGTGTAACAATTAATAATTAATAAGCATATTTATTAAAAAAAAGAATAGATAAGAAACAAAATCAACGCGGGTAGTGCGGATATGGCTGAGTAGCATAAAGAGATGGAGATTGGTAACCATACTGTTGTTGTGTATACTGAGTAGGCTGATATAAAGCTTGTGCGCTCTGATATTGAGCTGGTAACGGAACTCCATAGCCTCCGGTCATCTGCTGAGGATATTGTTGTGCCAATTGTTGCTGGTACTGTGTCTGTGCCATTTGCTGAGCGTATAACTGCTGATTGTAATTTGGTTGATTTTGGAATCCACCTGAAGGCCCAACGCCAAGGTTGTATGTCTGTTGATTCTTTGTGTCTAAGAATGCCATCTGACGGCTAATATTTTGTTGAATTTGGTTCGCTAAATTTGGATTTGAATTTTGCTGTGGATTTAATGGGTCATCTTCATCTCCAACTGGCATCTGTGGTGCTCCTGATTTCAAGTATGGGTTGTTAAATCTAGGAGCGTTCTCTTTTGGTGGGTTCATTCCTTGGACTTGATTATAATTAACATTGTGTAAGCGAGGCTGTGCAGGATTTGAATAGAAAGCCTTTGGAGATCTTCCTTGTGCTGGTGGAAGTCCCATCGGGGCAAAGGATGGTCCCATTCCACCTCCACCCATCGGCATTCCCATTGGTGGAACTCCGCCGGCCATTGGAGGGAATCCACCTGGTCCGGTAGGTAATGGCTGTGGAAATTGTGTTGGTGCTGTTGGTAAAACTGGAGGAGGCATTGCACCGTAATTTCCATGAGGTAAAGATGCGTATTGACTGATGGGATTCGAGTGAAGGCCTCTAGATGGATCATTTAAGTCTAAGTTCATCGGGAAGTCGCCTTGACCTTGATTTGGATTTGCAAAGGTAACCTTACCAGGGACTCGGAACTGTGGATGATTTCCTGGATTATCATTCGGAGGGAAATTGGCCTTATCACGATTGCCGCCGTGTTGGGATGAATACGATGGTGGCAAAATTTCCGAAGAATCATCATCCTGTATGTCTTCTGTAAATTCTGGAATTGTATCTGGTACGCCGGCACTATCGGGATGTTCTGAGGAAGAATTATGATGAGAAGCCATTCCGTGACCTTTTTTGGACCCAACGACTATGTTAGGAGCTTTAGATCTATCAAATCTGCCTTTAGAACAGTCAAACGGTTGCTTTCCTTTTGTATCAAAATGCAAAACTACAGTCATCCAAGGTTGAGCTGATACCATTATTCTCGTCATTTCAACTTTTATTTTGACTTTTTTATCGATTGGTATTGCCTGAAGTGGTATTTTAACATTTGCTAAAACATTTTCGCCACTAGCTGTTTTGGATTTAAGCATAAAGTTGTATACGCCTTCTAACTGTTTTGGAGTAAAGCAGAGCGTCTCATTGTCAAAATTAAGATCGTCAGGATTACGTTCCTGAGTTTTCGTTGTTTCTCCGTTTGCTTCATCTGCAATCTGAACGTAGAGAGGGTTGGACTGGAGATCATGCATAGGGATTCCATCTATTTTAGGGATCCGAATATAAAAGCGTGACCTCATTCCTTGAATAGACTAGTTTTAATTCAAAAAAAAAGGAGATATTTTTTTATTAAAATGTTGATGCAAAAATGATTTTGGATTATGATGAAAATATTTTTATCAATTGAATAAAATTAAAAGTACGATTTAAATTTTTTGGTTTTCATTCATGCATTTGTGCAACTAAAAATAGTTTATTTTGTTGTAAACAGAAATTCATCAAAAGTGACACCTCAGAAAAGCTAAAATATTGAATTTTTGGAACTTTTGATAGAGCACGTTTTTAAATATTAATTAAAGTAAATGTATATTTTGTAAAGATTCTTTTTAATAAAAAAAATTTTGAAGAAGAACACAAAATCTTCTGAAAAATAATATCACATAAACTCATATTATTTTCTAATATATAACTATTTTATATAAAAATCAAATTCAATGATCTTAAAAGCGAAGGAAAAACCTCAAAATTTACGAATATAATGAGTGGAATATAATGCTTATCTATCATAAAACCATATGAAATATCAATTTTTTGCTTTACGCCTAATTTTTGACGACAATTAGCAAAAAATGTTAAATGTTAACACTCAGTCCATTTGAATATGAAAAATAAAATTGACTTTGATTAAATGTTTTTATTTATCATGCAATTCTTCTTGCGACCAAAGATTTGAATAAAAGTTCAAAAATAAGATAGCTTAAAAAATAATATACGGTAGTGTTTACTAATAGATGAATAGTATATAAATTCTATTAAAATGGATTTGATCCAAAAAAATATAAAACCAAAAATAATTGTTATAATTTAAATGAAGAAGTAATTTAAAACGATTTTATTTATGATCAAATTTTATATATTTTTTTGGATCAAATCCATTTTAATAGAATTTATATACTATTCATCTATTAGTAAACACTACCGTATATTATTTTTTAAGCTATCTTATTTTTTGAACTTTTATTCAAATCTTTGGTCGCAAGAAGAATTGCATGATAAATAAAAACATTTAATCAAAGTCAATTTTATTTTTCATATTCAAATGGACTGAGTGTTAACATTTAACATTTTTTGCTAATTGTCGTCAAAAATTAGGCGTAAAGCAAAAATTGATATTTCATATGGTTTTATGATAGATAAGCATTATATTCCCACTCATTATATTCGTAAATTTTGAGGTTTATCCTTCGCTTTTAAGATCATTGAATTTGATTTTTATATAAAATAGTTATATATTAGAAAATAATATGAGTTTATGTGATATTATTTTTCAGAAGATTTCATTCTATATGCCTATGAAAAGTACTCTCAAAACCAACTTTTCCTAATTATAATTAAATCTAGAATATTGTATTATGCTTAGTATTATTTCATTTTTCTCATTCAATTTAGAATTTACAAATGTCAAAAAATTGAGAGCTGTCACTTTTGATGAATTTCTGTTTATTACAGTACTTATCTTCTACATATATAATCTTCATTAGATATATACATGATAAATAAAATTCATAAAACATTAAAAATCAAAAAATTAGATGAACCTTGGCAATTAAACTTTATTAAATAATAGTTGTTTATAAATTATATTATATTATCATTTAATATTATTTTGATAATGAAGATTTTATTTTGCAATAATATAAACGAAATTTTTTACCTTATGAACTTTTGATGGAAATATGCAAATTTAAAATAATAAAGAAAGCCGCGAGCGAAGCGATCGGCTTAGTTCGAAGATTTTGATTCAAATCTTTGCTGATCTGTAATTCGCGGAAGCCGCGAGCGAAGCGATCGGCTTAGGTCTAAGATTTTGATTCAAATCTTTGCTTATATTCCTTAAATTCTTTATGAAACTCGCAACAGTTCCATAAAAAATTTTAAATTCTAAACTGTCGAAATTACCGATCGGTAATCACACCCTTCACGGGTGTGTCACTTTTTACAGGCGCGTCACTTTTAGCTAAAATTACCCCTACTCTTCGCTTCATGACTGTGTAAAATTTGTAAAAATTCAATTTACCCTTCAATCATTTACAAAATTTTATTCGAAAGGTTCTTCTTTTAGGTTTTCGGAGTTTTTCTTATTAGTTTTGAAGCTGAAGGATAATTAACCGTGTAATTTTGGTACATTTTTAATTGGAATGAGGTATTACGGGAATTTATTCTTATTATCCGAAGCAAAAGATATACTCTGGTAAAATTTAGCTCATATTATGAATTTTTCGGATCACACAGCACTAAACTACTCCGTTTCTATGAGTTTATTCTTGTTATGATAATGAAAATGAGAAAGTTGAAGACCCTAGGATTAACATAGTAAGGTGATAGTATATATAATTGAAGGGCCAAAAATGAATTTGCTTTATTGTTCGATCATAACATAATTCATATAAGAATAGAAAACGCATGCAGAAAATATACATCAGTAATCTAAATAAATATATGAACTAGTATACAATGCTTCAAGATTACAATAATTTGAAAGATTTGAATGAACGTTAAAAATCTTAAGATGCACTATCATTGTTTAATGTACTGACTTTGAATTATAAAGTTTTATAATACTATTAATACTATTGATACAATTATAATTTCGAGCGAATAAATATCAAGAAAAAAGTCAAAAGTTTCATGAATAATTTTTACCAAAGCATTATATAATGATTGGGGTTACTCCCAAATGACATATCTTTTATTAATTATTTAAGGTTAAATTCCAATACCATTTTTAGTACAGTATACATTGTGCGTCGCCTGTAGCCTACAGCTACAGGCACCGACACAATGAAAAAAGTGACAGAAAACTGACACCATACGGGCGCATATGTACGCATATATGTGTAAAAATAAACGTTCATATGTAAACTAACCTTTATTCACTAGCAGGGGCTGATAAATCATAATCGTCGAGAAGTACGATAGGTGGTCCCACCTGTTTAATCTGTATGGAGAGGCAAACGTGACGTAAGAAGCATAACACTGGTTTCTCAGTATATTTAATAGACTCTGCTGTTGGCTTAACTGTAAGCTTATATGTAATAGGTGAATTAGATAACTGACCCTGTTGGAATGTATAATCAGTTTCGCAAGGGAATCCACATAGGTAATGACCTAAGTCATTTGACTCGATTCCAAATTGAGGGACTGATGTGGTTGTGATAGACCTCATGACATCATAGTTGAAGCCAACAGTATCGTTATTATTGTTAGTGGCATTTGCCTGCATCTCATAGAAGATTGGATCATTAGATGCTTGAGCCTCAGCGGGTATGTTACCATATGCTCCACAGTTCAATTGAATTTGTTCAAACAATGGATTTTCATAGGTAGTGTTATAATTAGGTGTTTTCTTAAATAGTGTATAAATGGTGTTCACATATAATGGAGTAAATGCTGCCGTGAATGTACAAGGAGTTCCTTCACCTTTAGCCATTGAACCATCCATAGTAATGCAGTCAATTCTTTTGATTGGGAAGTTTAGAGTCTTTGCCGAATATCTTGTCACCAAATCACTATAGATGTTAGGGTCCAAAGAGAATGAGTTACAGTATGTAATCATTTCAAAGAAGTTTGCATTCTTCTTAGTGAACTTAATAAACTTGGTACCAAATGATATCGTACTCTTATCGGCATTCCAAGTTACAGTATCAATAACTTTGATACCTTCATAGATAGGAGTGAAGTGATTAGTGATTGGAATATAGCTTGTAACATTGGCTTGCATGTTCGGTAATGGTAGAATATCCTGATAACTTAATGGTGTCCAAACCATACCAGCAATACTGAACTTAACCTTAAGTTGTAAGTTACCAGCAAACGCTGGAAGGAATCTAATGTTATTAAGTATTAGGAATCTTCTTAGGTCAATCTTGATTGGTATGTGGAACTTTAATGTAGTTGCACCACTAATTGGTTTATTGAACTCAATAATCTGTCCAGAACGAACTGTATCACATCTATTGAAAACATCTTTATGTCTAGCCTTACTAAATACATCAACTTTCTTAATAGCTTCTGTTGTAGATGCAGTAGAAGTAATGTAACCTTCTTCTCTAGCATTATCTTGTGTATAAACACTTTTACCATTAGCGATTAATTGATATGATTCAACAGCATAGAATGAATCAATGTATCCCAACCAAATTGCTGGAAGATGTGCACATGATTTGCCACCAGCATATTTAGTATCAATTGCTTTAATTGCTGTAACATTTGATCCTGTAGGAGCTGTCTCAACAGCTCTTTCTTTATATACTTCACCATCATATTTAGGAACTTTTTCATCAGCTGGTTCAGTTTCTGTTGTAATTATGCACTCACCATCGACATAACCACTAATGAACGTATTATATAAGTCAATCATGTTCTCACCAGGTGGTGATATGTTAAATGTAATATAACCGTTATCAATAGTATTTGTCGGCATAGCTGGCACTTTTGTTGGGACATATCTATGGTTAGTATCTCCAATAGGAACTGCCCCATCAACTTGATCGAAATAATATCTTACTTGTCTGATGGAATCAGCAATACTGTATGTATTGAGGTTATCGTTCAACATCTTTCTCAGCTATAAAAAATTTACAATCTTCTTATTCTTGGGATTATTCGTCTTATTTGTGGCTGAGGTTTAGGAGGTTCTGGTTCAGGCTCTGGTTCATCATCGAAGTGTATTCTTTTCTCTTCCATTGATTGAACATATTCTTGATTCTCTTTAGTTTCCTTCTCACGTTCAATTGGGTCCATGTTTGGTTCATTAACTACACTGTTACGTTCTAATATCTTTGTCATCATCTCTAACAACATTTTATTAGTATATGCTTGTTCTTCTTCTTTCTTCTCATCAACTTTAGGAGCTTCTTGAACAACAGGAGCTGGGGCAGGAGCTGGTGAATTCAATGGTGCCTTTCTCTTTCTAACTTGAACTGAACCATTCTTCATATGACAAACATAATATAATGGATGTTGTATTCCTTTAGCTTCATTCAATATGATTGATTGCTTTTCACTTGGTGAAAGTTTTGACGTCATTTCTATCCTAATAAAATTTTTTACTCCTAACAAAATGACTGAGAATACTTTCGACAGAGAAGCACTCAAGAATGAACTTCGTGAAGAAATACTTAATGAACTCAAACCAAAAGAACAAACACAAGAAGAGAAACCAGCTAAACCAAAGCGTAAACTCACAGAGAAACAATTAGCTGCATTAGCAGCTGGACGCGCAAAGAATCCACGAATGATTGCAAAGAAATTGAGAGAAGAGGAAGAAGCTAAGAAAAATAATAAGTAAGTGTTTAGAACTTTAACTTACGTTCAAAAGATGACTTCGTTGAAATAGTGAAGTCCTTATTTTTGTTGAAGCATGGTTTCGAACCAATGCACAAGTCAAAGGTTATCTCATCACCTTCATAAAGAGATTTGTACAATTCCACGATGCTATATTTTTCCCCAACTTTCTCAGGGAAGAACAAACCTTTCTTCTCGTCATAATGTACTTGTATCGCATCTGGGAACATTTGGTTTGCAGTAAGTGCAATTACGTCCTGTGTGATTCCCTTCATTCGACAGTGGAAAGCAATTTCCTTGAGGTCATTGGTTAATTCGTCGAGGTAAGTCTTCTTTCCAACGAATATAGATCTTTGTGCCTTAGACATATGTCCTGCAGTAATCTCTGCAAAGTCTGAATGAAATTGACCCAGTGCTTTTCCAATGAGTTCTCTGTTATACCTTCTCTTGTATTCTTCTGCTAACTTATCTAAGTCCTTCTCATACAAGTGTAAACTATCTGTATCCTGATAGAACAACTTCAAGCCCAAATCTTCTGCTGTGAAGAATACTTCATTCATGATTCGTTTGGACATAGAAAGGATTGAAACACCTAATGGACAATAGTTAAAGTGACGAACGATAGGTTTAAATGACTTTACACATGAAAGTTCGGAATCGGGGATGAACTCTATTGTCTGTATGTCATTATAGTTCTTAATGATATAGTCAGTGAGCTTATTGTCCTTGATGAAACGAATCTTTTTGTCAATGGGCTTTAATATCGTCTTACCATAGATACTGTTCAAAAGAAGTTTGATGATCTCTTGTATCGGATTACCTTCCTTCTTATACTTAGCACGTAATTCGAAGAGCTTCTTAACTTCATTCCTTATTGTCATGTCCCTTTTTCCATCATAATAGTATCCATCAATGACTTTGCATGAGATCTCTTGGAACTTGATCAGATCTTGAAGCGTAATGTGGTCTACGAACATCTTGCAGCATGTATTGGAACTTCTGGCAACATGTAAGTCAGGGTTGATGTCAGGATTGACGACAATCAATGGGAATGCTGAGTTCTTACCGATCGACAAGATCTCGATCTGACAGTAAAATCCTGAGATGAACTTTTCCTTTGTTGGTTCAGCTTGGTCATCATCAAAGAGATGCTCCAACAAGTATTCACTGCTCTTCATCTCTTCTGTCATAACTTTTGGAATTCCTTCTAAACAGTAAAGTCTAGCAATTGCTGATGGATACAATGATACAGCATCGAAGTCAGTGATGAGTTCTCCTTCATTGTATTGCTTCTTGTTCTCAGCTAGCATGCATCTTCCTCCTTGAATACACTTGGAAATATATTCACGAGGTTTTCCTGCAAGATCAAAGAGATTACCGTTCTTCCAATATACTCTCTTCTCAAAGAGTTTGTTTGAGATAGAACTTATTGAAACATAATCATAAGCATCTATTTCAAACTCAGTCATGAGGTCATTGCGGAACTTAAGAAAGCCATCTCGTAAAATGCGTACATCTTGACCGCAATAGAATGACGAATAAACTTCCATGTCAAAGTGTTCATCATCAATCTTGCAATCTTCAATCTTCTCAATGTTCTCATTAAAAGCTTCAATATCTTTGACATGATTCATGGCATCATCGATGTTACCAACTTTAGTTGTATTAACTAACTCTTCCGTGTAGTAATTATATGGGAAAACTTCTTTTTCACCACTAGTGAGGTGAAACATTTCAGGGAATCTTTCCAACTTAGTTGAGATGATTGCATAAGAGTCTTTGAAGCAGAGAAGTTTTCCTTTGTACTTTCCTTGTATCTGCATCGTTTGTGAACCTTTGATGATTGGAGTTCCTGTAATCTCTTCTAACTGAGACATGAGAAAAGTGACATCGTACGATAAGTTGTGGAAATAAACTAAACTCTTATCTGGTAAAGCTTCGAGGAATTTTGACGCACAGTCACTTCCCCAAATTGATGTATAACCATCATCGTCATCTTCCATGATCCAATTGTTTACGGGTTTTGTGAATGTTTCCATCAGTTGATGCTTCGAAGTCAGCAAAGAAAACATGTTCTCTTGGGAACTTCATGTCTTTCTTCGTCTCTGAACTCCAATCTTTCTTCATCCTTGCGCAATAACGCTCATTGTATGTGAGGTCAATCATTTCTTCAAGGTTCTCATTATACATCGTTGTGAAGTATGTGCAAAGTTCTCCTGTTCTAATTGGTTCGAAATAATTGTTAGCAAACAAGAGTTCAATGACTTTTGCAAGTGGTGTAACTAACTTTGAGTTAATTGCATACCTTGTTTCATATCTTCTGTTAACTAACATCTTCTTCTCTAAAGTCCAATCCTTGCACAACTTACAAACATCTTCATAGTTCTTGATGAACATTGAACTTATTGGAAGCTTTTCGTTCAACATGTAGTGGTCATACATTAATAAAAGTTCTACTGTCATCTTTGGTTCTTCATCTGGTTCATAAGTATATGAATGATTTGAATACTTCTCGTTGTATTTGATGACATGGAACCTTATTCCTGTTTCTTTGGCAATAACCTTAATCTTTGACATTGGAAAATCTTTGACACGAATGATTTCCCTCATATGATTAATTGTTGCTTCGTCAACACCAGCTTGAATACAAGCGTAGATGAAACATGAATCTTTCATCATCTTCTTTGCTGTCTCTGCATTAAGTTCGTTGAAGATCTGATACCTCTCTAAGTTAATAGGTAATTTGCATGTCCATGTCCAAAGCTGACCATTACGTGACCTGTTTCTCTTCTTTGAATGGTTTTGTTTGATGATCTTGAGTGCGATCTTTTCTTGACCTGCTGCTCTCATCGTATCTAACATAACTTGTTCTTCAGCTGTGAGTTTATATGGTGTGTACGTTCCTTTTCTCAAAGCAGAAGCATCAACATCTGAATAAGCTGTATAGTCAAAGATCTCGATCTTCCTTAACGAAGGAATACTACAAAGGAAGAAGTCATAGTTTGATTCAAGGACTTTAGATGCTAATTCTTGTACTTCTGCTATTGGAGCTTCATTAAGTAACTGATGAACTAATGATCCCATTGTATTGATGTTCAAATGACGCAAAATGTTTCTCTTCTCATCAAAGTCGTAATAGAATGTCCACTTCTGTTTGAAAAGGTCTATCTGTCCAATGAACTTTGCCATAACTCTTGGAAACATCTTGTTGAAGTAATCTTTTCCTCTTGGACTGTATTGGTCAATGTTAAACATAATGAATCTTTCTCCTGCTTTAGTTATTGGGTCTAACCATTTCTCATCAGGAAGTTTTTGACCATTAATGTTCTTAACAACGTAAAAGGCATTCTGTATTTCTTTGTATGCTAATTCGCTCTCATCAATCTTTGGTGGAGGGTCTGAGTATATTGGTTGCATCTCCATTAACGCTCTATTATGAGATCTCTGATCGTGATCTAAAGCAACTGGGGAATTTGAAGCTGGAACATTCATGATACCATTGTAGTCATCATAGAAGCTCTTAGCATTCTTGAAAATATCTCTACACTTCCTGTATCCTTGATTCTTAATTGCCAGAGCTAATTTATTGGTAATGTCTTTAGCTTTCTTAGGCATTTTGATCCAAACATATCAAGCATACCTTTCTTATCTTCTGGTGAAAGGTTATTAACTAATCCTTTATACTGCAGACATTTTTATAACCGATAAAAAAATATACGTTATTTTTTTTTAATCGTCATCGTAATCATAATCGTACGAAGATTCTGTATCATCATCACTGACATCATTGGTTTCTCTAACTTCTGGCTTATCTGGTTTAATCTCTATCACCATAAACATTGGTGACAATAATCGAACAGGCTGATCTTGGAAGTCAACTAAGGTAAACGTAACATTAGTTAGTTCCCATGGAAATGCATCTATCCATGGTGAGGATTCCTTACATATAAGTGGTTTACCAGATATCCAGAACTCATTGATGTTATAACATGTAGATCTGTACATGATCTTTCTTCGATCATCAACTTGGTCAATATTATTGAACCCAGAGATGACAGACATTGATGAACGAAGGTATAACTGATACCCGAAGTTGAGCATAGGTGGTTTTGGCATTTGTAGATAATAATTATGTACAATAGGTAGTTCTATTCCATATGCACCTAAAATAAGATTTGCTCTATGTGAAGCATCTTTTAAATAGACTTTATGTCCTTTGTCCTGTGACGTAAATATAAGTTGATTCGTAGCACTCAGTGAAACTGTTACATTATGTTGACCTTTTTTCTTGTTATAATAATCAAACTGTTTTGTTACAATCTCTTGTAGTTTTGATACAATAGTATCCATATCAAATGAAAGAGCTGACTTAAATGTACACACCTTTTCTTCTCCATCTTCGTCTAACTGTAAGACAAAATAATCTGTTTCGTCACAAACAATAAAGTTCGCCATAGTACTGACACTTTTTACTCTCATCTTTATCTTACTTGGATGCCCCATGTTAGGATCTGCTTGAAACTGTATTGTCCCGTAGTTATTAGGATCAGTCGATTGTAGATAATACATCATTTTTATATGTAGTAAAAGAATGAGTGTTGTTCCATATGCATATGAATGTTATAAGTCTAGCGTACTTCAATATAAAGAATATACTCTCAGAATTACTGATAATGCTTTAGTCATACATAAAGAAGGTGCTGATGAAGACATTACCATCGGTCCTGGTATATTACCTATCGAGCAACCAGATGGTACAATTGTTGAAACAGACTTAAATCAATACCTTCAAGCGTTACAGAATCGTGTGACAAAAGTAGAGAATAATTACTTAGATGCTCCATTCTTCACAACTGATAGAGATTATATGTTTTCATGTATGGCGAGTAATGGTTTGCAAGAAACTCGTGAGGTAAATATTAATGAAGCATTAGAGACTATAATATATCATGTTAAACGGTTATTATCGATTGACCATGGAGTTCATTTTGACCCAAGGTCTACACTGTTCAATATACCAATGATTGAAAACAGTCAATTAACATTTAAAGAAGATACATTGTATAATGCTTTAAACGCAGCATTTGCTTATATATTAGGTCATGAACAAGTACAAAATAGTGGTATTGCAATATACTTAGATAAAGTTATGTTAAAGAAACCATTGACATTCACAGAAGATGGTCCAAAAGCAACTGGTATTGTTGGTGATGGAACATTATTGACGAAAGAATACTTAGCAAGTCATGTCGGAGAATTTTTCTCCACTAATGATAGCATCAGTACAACACCAGAAGTTATTTTATTGAAGAAACCAATCACATTTGATGTTAAAGGAAAGACAAAAGCAACTGGTATAGCTGGCGATGGAGTTCTTCTGACTAAGGAATACTTGAAGAAAAATATCAATGACTTCGTTGAAATTGTCAAAGATAAAGAATCTGGTCTTAAGTTCAACCCTTTATCATTCATCTTTGCCATAGCAAACGCCGGTGCTACTGCAGCCTCATGGATATCACTCCAGAGTCAAATAAATGCTCTTTGGGCTTTTGTTGAAAGTCAAGAAGGTATAGATACTGTTCTTGACACTCTGGGTAATCTTGGTCCAAATCATAAAGGAGGTTTTGTGGATGGAATAAAAAATTTAGTTGAAAAGACTAAAACAAGTTTCCAGAAGATAACTCATATAGAAAGATTCAGAAATGAAGGTTATATGGAACTTGAGAGTTTTGATGTGACTGGACCTTTGGAACCAATTCCAATGCCACGTGATGCTAATGATGAAGAAGAGAAAGATCCTGGACCAAAAACAATCATTTCTACGTTAAGTACTTTGTACCCTGATTTTGTGACCTTAGTGAAAGTTGCTAATACATCAAGAAAGAACAATAATATTAATATGTCTGGTACTGATGACCTTACTGATTATCTTTATCTCATTCTTGCTGAATTAGCGAAGAAAGTTGAGGAGAACAAAAATAATGGAGGAAGAACTGCACTTAAGATTGCAGACAAAGCTGACAAAAGTTATGTTGACGAAGAGATACGTAAAGTTGCATCTAAAGAATATACTTTATCACAGTCTGTCATACTTAAGACAATCAAAGGTCCAGAGAAAGATATGTACCCAGGTGATGGTACAACAGTTAAAGTTAATGAAAGAGTTTCATTCCCATCTGGTATTGATGCAAAAGAAGTATATATTAATGGTGAAAACATCAATACAACATTGATTCCTTTGAAAAATAATGAGTTCACTGAACCTTTGACAGTTAAATCAATTCGTTCAAGAGAAGACAAACCTGTTATAATCAATAAAATAGGAGCTGATAATGACCAACCAGTTCAAATCAAGAAAATAAGAGCTGATGACATTATCTTGAACTATACTTTAGGCTCAAGTGCACTTTAGAGAATCCAAGCACTAGTGTAAGAGATACACTTAATAGTTTAGATAGTAAATGTACGAACATTGAAGGTCATGTCAGAAACTTTGAAACACATGAGCTACCAACAATGTTAGATAAGAAAGCTGACAAAACTTATGTGGATGCAGAACTAACAAAGAAATTTTGGAAACCAGATAAAATGACATTTACAACAGAAATTATAAATGGTGAACCAGCAACTCCATTTGAATTTGTTAGAGGTCTTCAACCAGATACTTTTGAATTTTTCTTGGATAATTCTATTGAACTAACATTACATTATAAAAGTGGAACAAATGCAACATTTCATCCGGGAGATACATTCCAAATGGTATTTAATGACATAAGTTCTTTAGAATATGTTTATAGAGCTATGAGCATATATGATTTAATATATCCTATAGGAGCTGTTTATACGTCTATGAATCCAATAAATCCAAACACTTTATTTGGTGGTAGATGGTATGAAATAGTTGACAGTTTTCCATTCTACACTAATACGCAGTCAATGAAGATGGGAGGTTCAAAGAAAATAGGTATTGAAAACCTTCCTTCACATATGCATAGGTTCAGTGGAAGAACATCTGTGGAAGGAAACCATTCACATTCAATGACAAAAAGAGGTTATACAAATCTTGCAGCAGGTTCGGATAGACAGGGAATGCATAGATATGATATTTCAAGTGACCCAGTAGATTCAAGCACAGGTATTTTCTGTGGAACTGCAGGAAATCATACACATGTTGTAGCTGGCATTACAGACCCAGCAGGTAATGGAAAAGATTATATGCCTCCTTATATAACAATGCACGCTTGGATACGAGTTGGTTAACTCAAGATCACGATCACAAACTGTTTCTCAGTATGAATGAGTAGCTCTATTTTTACATCATTACTGAAGTATTTCTTTTCTTCATCAATGACAGAAAGAATGTTTTCATCATCTTTTAAAGATCTTACCAAAGTTAGATCTTCATCAGAAAATCTCAAAGAAAGACTCATTTATGCACTAATAAAAATATAGCTAATTATTTTTTTATCTGAACTTTTTATCGGGTATATAAAGATGTCTGAACATCATATAAAGTTCTTTAAGATCCAACAGTTTGTAGATGAAGTGAAGAAGCAAAATAAAACAGCAAAGAGACTACTTATATGCTTACCACAAACATTATGTCAAGGAAAGTATGGTTATAGTGCAAGTCCGATCATGATCTTTGTCGATAAGCAGAAATACACAAATGAAGGTTTAGCTAATTTACTCAAGTTTGAAAAGATAGCTATAAACATTCCTGACCATTTCTCAGCGAGAATAAACCTTGACAAGACTAAAAGTTATTGTTTATATGTAGATCTCACGAAATCAACAAAGAGTAAAGACAAAGAATATAACCCAGTTGAACTTAAGACAATGGGTAAGAACTTACTCAAAGCTGCTATCAAACCTGTCGAAGAGATCGACATTGAGGATGAAGCAGAAGAAATAGATGTAGATCCTGATGCATTATAAACGATAAAGTTTATTTTTGGAGGAAGATGGTGTCAGACCCTTTAATCTGGTATGCTTGTTCTAGGTAATTGCAGAAACCTAGAAAGATTGGTATTGGTCTGAGTTTCATATCTGTTCTCTCATCTCTCCATTGAAGCAAGTAAATTTTCATGAAGAGTTCGTCTGGATTCTCAGGTTTTGGTACACACTGATCGAAGATCTGTATGACCTCTTCATGACCGTACTCCCTATGGTCAGACATGAGTGTTAAGAAGAACTTTTGCATCTTCGGACCAGGTTTAGCATCTATGCAACGAGTGGGTCTCATTGACATTTTTGTCACTTTTATTTGGTCGAATGGAAGGATTCGAGTTCATGCCACTTGACAGCAAAGAAGGTGCAGAAGAGGTTGTTGTTGCTGCATTCTATGCGAGCTCACACGTTGACGCATTCCGAACTTACCAGGATGACCTCGAAAAAGAAGGTCGAAAGCTTGGAAAGATCCAAATGTTGCTTGAGTTCTTCCGTGGAAACCTTGCACAGAAGTATGAGAAGAAAGAATAAACAACTAATTATTACTGAGCTTAGCTCATAAATGTAAGTTTTTACTCTGATCAGATCTTAGATCTCGTCGGGACAAGCGGAAAGGATAAAGTCCATGAGCTGGACTTTTGTCTTAGTGAGCGGTACTGCGGTCATGAGTAGTTCGCGCTTGTTTGAGCCACTTGGAACGCGACCCTTCCAATTCCTCATAGATCTCAAGGCAGAGATCGTGAAGAACTCAAGGACAAAGAGTCTTTGAGACTTGGTAAGGAATCCCTCATCATCTCTTTCATCCTGGAGGGTCTTTGTGGATGCAGTGGACTTGATCTCGTCTTCCTCGATCGGATCATTCTCATAATCTTCATCACCCTTCTTCCTAAACGTCATCTGCTCTCTCTTGTAGTCGTTCCTGAGAGCATTGAGTCCAGCTTCAAGATCTTGTGAGTTCTTTGCAGGTTTATTGAAAGTTTTCTTTTCCTGCATTTGCTGTATAAGCTGGGTTTGCTGTTGCATCATCTGCATCATCATTGCCATCATATCTAGTGTTGGTGATGCTGGAGCTGGTGTTGTACCATCTTGGGACATTCGGTCGTCGGTTATGTCTTTACAAAAGACTGCTTTACAAAAGACAGCTTTACAAAAGACAGCTTTACAAAAGACTGCTTTACAAAAGACAGCTTTACAAAAGACAGCTTTACAAAAGACAGCTTTACAAAAGACAGCTTTACAAAAGACAGCTTTACAAAAGACAGCTTTACAAAAGACTGCTTTACAAAAGCATTTTCTCACAAAATTGAATACTTTTGCTTTACAAAAGACGTCTTGACAAAAGATTGCTTTACAAAAGTCTGCTTTACAAAAGACGTCTTGACAAAAGATTGCTTTACAAAAGTCTGCTTTACAAAAGTCTGCTTTACAAAAGACGTCTTGACAAAAGATTGCTTTACAAAAGTCTGCTTTACAAAAGTCTGCTTTACAAAAGACAGCTTTACAAAAGATTGCTTTACAAAAGCCATGACTGATCTTCATCCAATTTGTTTAATCGAACTTAATGAAGTAATTTCTGCATATCTCCTGCATGTATTTGGAAACGAGAGGATAAGACAACTCACCAAGGTTTCCAGACGCCAGATCCAAAGACTTGAATCAACTGCAGGAGTAATCCTAAGCTTTGAAGAAGGATTAACCAATAAGAAAGATGTCATTGACTCCAAGCGTGAAAGCCTTGCTGCTTTCTTACGCAAACACCCATGGGTCGATGTTGATCTCCAAACTCCTTACCAAGGACTCGTTGAAACCTTCACGACCTACAGACAGCTCCTTGACAGACCTGAGCAGAACCTTCTGGTCGAACGTGATGGCACATTAAGCCCTACAGACGAGTCAATCCAGAGAGAAGAAGCTCAAGAGTAAAAATCTGACATTTATACTTTACATGACATTTTTTTCATGAGTGTTCACGTTAAGATCAATGATGAAAACATGACTTCATGGGAAGATATCATTGATGACATAGAGAATGACCTTGATGAAAACATGATGGGAGCTCAAACGTCAGTTAAGGTCAAACTTGGTGAAGTTCAAGAAAAGATCTCCGAGATCAATGCAAAAATATCTGCTCTTACAGAGGTTGACGTTTATTACAGAAGCTTGGAGAGAACTTTAAGCAAACTTGAACGTCAGAACCAAAGTCTCATAGTTGTGCTCCAGAAACTCAGTCTCATGCGTAAAGCATATAATGACTACCTACATGTAAGAGACTTACCTTCTTATTCTACTCCAGATCTCGACTTTTCCGATATAAGTCCAATCCTTATTGATACAACACTTACGATAGCAGGGATGCTTCCTACATATCCAGAATATGATAACTTACCTCAGCTCTTCGAGTATCTCAAGAAAAAGTTCATGATCTTATTATGCGAGACCATGAAAAGACGTCAAAATACCAGAACAGAACGAGAACAGAGCTTACTAATAGACTTATTATATAATACTAAAGAAATAAAGGAGTTTTTATTCTAACTTTGGTATTTTTGGGAAGAACTGATCTGGATCATATTTGTCAACCACAGGTTTTGGTATCAAAAGTCTCTCTGGTTCTTGGACGGCTGGTACTGGAAATGGTTCCTTTGGTTTCCTAGCTTTTGGGAGATCTAAAAATTTTCTTGGTCTCTTTCTTTTGTGTAAGTGTTGTCCATTTTTATCGACAACGAATGTGAGCTTTCCGTCGTCAAAGATGAATGTCGTCGCTTCTTCAGTTCCCTCATCAACTATTATCTTCTTGATCTTTCTCTTCTCCATTAACAGAAAAAGTGACATATATTACTTCATTTTTTTCTGAGTGTTAGGATTAATTAAACCTCTATCTATAACATGCTTTCTCATAGAAAATTTCTCTCCATATCTTTTTGTCAATATCTCTAAAGTTCTTCTGTATAAGATTTATCACTACTGAAGTAAATAGATGGATAATTAAGGACATCAAAGGTTTCTACAGTATCTTTAAGAGTCCATTCATCTCCATACTGTATAGAATAAGTATGGAAGTATGGAGGATCACATATAAAGAAAACATTGGGAAGATCTTTATACTCATTGAAGAGTATTCTCCAATCTTTATGAACAATAGTTAAACCTTCAAGATAGTCATCTATGTTTTCACCAAATAAGTTAGTATATCTGAGGTATAACACTTTCTTCATTAATGTTCAAGATCATAGTATTTGTATGCTCCAGAATAGAGAAGACGTGAACATAATGTATCCCAGTCTATGTATGGAGCTTTACTTATAACTTCTCTGACGATCTCTTTCTGATCAGTAGGAATTTTCTCATCTGGCTTAACATTTATTCTCTCCTTAAGTTCCTTAAGTATTTCATTCGTGTCATGAATGTGTTTCAGTCTATCAACGTAGTTATCATAGTCGTTAGCTATGATCGTTGCTTTTGGGAACATAATATGCAACAGATGAGAGATATAGAGAGAACCACCAAAGAGGTCAACGAAGACATAATCCCCTTTGATGTCTTTGAGTATGTCGATAAGAGCTTTCCTGATCTTCGACTTATTACCTATGAAAGGTAAAGGAGGTTTGGTAAAAATCATTTATATGGTAATAAAAATAAGTGTTTACTTGAGACAATAACCTCTGTTGAGTTTGTAGAACAAGATCAGAAGTACGATCAAGTTCAAAACAACACAAATGGCTAGGATTGCGTTACCAACAATCTTTGTCTTTTCCCAGCAAGACTTCTTCTTTGGTTCATGTGCTGCTTCGACATCACTGTATGGCTCGGACATTAACTTAAAAAGTGTCATGACCACTTCATTTTTGATGAAGTCAACAGCTTATGTCCACTTCCTCCCACAAGCACTTGAGGACAAGAGAAGGTCATCATTGACTACCTTCAAGCCACTGAGAAGCTCCAAAAGCTTCAAGATCTCCGCGAAGAGTTCAAGTCCCGCTTGAAACAGGAGAACTTACTGCAGGAGTACATGCTCATTTTGTACCCATTACTAGATGGCTCCCATTTACCATCAGAGTACACTGCAGCTCTTGATGCACTCAAAGATCTTCGCGATCACCGTCCGATCGGTAAAGAAGCCTTCGAGCTCACCATTGAGCAAGCCATCCTCGCCAAGTACAATGCAAAGAAGCGGATGCTCGAAGCTCTTGATAAGATCAAGGAGTACGTCGAAACGTTCTAAAATAATTACTTGAGTAAACAATAAGTTTTATTGAGTAAGTCTTGAAACATTTGTGCTTTTGTTCTTGTTTGAACAACCATATTTAACATTAGATAAAAAATTTTTTGGTTAAACAATAACATACTTAAGACATAAATTATACCTACTTATTAACTCAGTATATTGTGCATTATATGCATACTTAAACTCTTGAGCAATATTGTTCTCATCAATGATTCTGATCTGAGCTATTTTTGAGAAAGGTGGTGGAATACCACAACATGTGATGTCTGGGTCCAGTAGGTCTATTTCACACTTGAACCCAGTCATTCTGTGAACAACTTCTTCCAAGTCTGGCTTAGGTAGTAAGATCTGATCTTTGCTCACTAAGTTAGAAAAGAGCTCTTTGTCTTGGTCTAGAAGTATCTTCTGGTATATACTAAGTAAATACTCTTCTACACCAATCCTCGATGAAGTCTCCACAGATCTCGATGAGGTCAGGTTGGAAGTTAATGGACTTAAAGGAGGAGGATACATTGGTGCTTCTGAGTTCGTAGTTGTTTCCTCTTTTTTTATCTCTGTTGGAGCATCACTTACTGTACCAGATGGATAGTTCTTTATCACAATGTTATTAGTTGTTCTTGAATCAACATTGCTTGTTGGTTCAATTGGAAGATTAGCTGCACCATAAAGAATTGACTTCGATCTCATTTGTTATGAGTAAAAATTGTTTTATTCTCATATAAATGACGAACATTAACCCAGAGAACAACACAGAATATACTGCAACAGGAGTTGTTTACAATGATCTAGATCAGATCGTCCAACTCAAAGCCCCAAGAGGAAGGAATTTAATAAGACAACCTCCACCAAAGATATATGTTGATGATGGTAGTAATGGGTTCAACTTAGTGTATCATTACTCATATCCTCAATATGCAAAAATTGGGTCTACCCCAAACGTGACAAACCATTATATGAACCTTTATGATGAAGCAAGGTTTCATGCACCAACGAAGAAAGAACCTGATGCATCAAGATTACATGAATTCGCAGACCATGATGGTTATAGCGATTACTCAATGCCTGTAAGACTTTAACGTTAATAAAAAAATGACTGTTGGTAAACAAGAAAAAACTTTAATACAAGAGGATTTGATGCTACCAATATATTCAACTGATATGGGAGCTTATCAATTCGATACATTTGAGAATCCTGGTGGAACACCACCATATTTTCTTTTGTTCATCAATGTAAACAGTAGAAAAGGTTATGCGTTCCCAATGAGTGAAAAGAACTCAAACAATGTTCTAAGTGCAATGCAGAAGTTCATTTCACAAGCTACAGGTGAAATGAAGCCTACAATACTTACTAGTGATGAAGACCCAGCTTATACGACACAAAATGTTCGAGATCTGTTGGTCAGTCATAACATTGAGCACATGACGACACAGAAATACAATCATAACATACTAGGTATTATTAATAGGTTCTGTAGAACTATTAGAACTATGTTACATATGAAGTTAAACCTCAAAGAAGGTGATAAAACACCACCTTTCACTGCAGATACAATGAGACAAATTATTAATGACTACAACACTGAATATCATTCAAGCACACAACAAAAGCCTGATGATTTCACAGAAAAGGATAATGAGGAATATATAAAGAAGCAAAGATTGAAAGAAGAGTATGTCAGAAAAAATAACCTTTATAACTTAAGACCTGGTCAAAAAGTTCAAGTCATAGTTGAACCAAGAACATGGGGTAAAGGTAACCAACAAAGAAGACATCTTGATCCTTCTTATTATACAGTTGATTCAGTTGATACAAGTGCATACTTGTTAAGAGCAAAAGATGGAAGTGTTGCAAGATATCCACGTTATCAGATATGGACAAAAATAGAGCATGGATTAAAGCAAGGAGAAACTTTAGATCAAGGAAGACACGGTGCTGTTAAAAGTATTGATGGTCATGAACTTGTCGGTAATGATGTAAAGTATGATGTTACGTTTGAGAACGAAAATACAGGAAAAGTGACAGGTAGAGGTATGCGTGAAGGTAATCCAAACAGGTTGTCACAAATGGAAGTACAGTATTGGAGGAAAAATATTAATGAAGGTCATGTTAA